ACGACAGCATCTTGTTCACAGTAAGTAACGTCTTCAGTTTCAGTTAACAGTATTACAATGGACAGTTTATGAGATAAATGCGAAATATGCTACAACTGCTACTGTCTTTATTAACTGTATGTAGGTGTGCGTTTTGGTTTTCCACCTGTCAAGAAACAATCTAATTTCACTTTGTATATTAAACATGTGTGTAGAAATATATTATATTGTTATGTAATGACAATCTTTATAACTAAATGTTTTATTGAGACATTGGTACAGTAAGGTAAATCAAAGAGATCCCTGTTCTGGTTGTAGAAAGGCTGTTACTGTATATGGTTGAGGTTGAAAATTCAACTTTAAAGATCCAGTGTGTCACATTTAGGAGGATCTACTGTCAGAAATATAATGCAATATTCATAGGTATGTTTTCATTAGTGTATTATCACCTGCCAATGAATCGTGCCTTAAACCAAGCACTGTTTGCTTTACAGAGGTAGCGGGTCCTCTTCTGCGGGACTATTTTTACAGTAGCCCAGAACGGACAATCCAGCACTGTTTAGAGTTCCTAGTTTTTTTTTTTTTTTTTTTGCTTGGTTGAGTCATGTCATCTTCACAGCAAGATGCCGCTAAATCCTACACTTTTTACATTTTTTCAACAGTCACAGTTTATATGTTGAAAATACATATTGAAATACTGACATTTAATCTGTATTGTCTGAAAGTCAAGCCCTCCCCTAGAAACAAAAAAGCTTTATTCAACTTCTCCAACTGCCCAGTGTTCATCATTATCTCACCACCCTGTGGAGAAATAGTGTACGTTTAAATCTTTTAATTGGTTCAATGAGGAAAATGCAATGTCAGCTTATTGTCTTTGCAAATTGGTCCATTGTTTGTAATAATTGTAATCTTGGACAGTTATCTTGTGGGGAGCGAGACATTACGCTAACAAATATAAGTAAAAGTTCTTTCAAAGTCCTGGTGGAGTACCATTGCCTTTACAGGTTGTATTGGTTATTAAATTTATTTAATGTTTTCCTATGTGCTACAAAAGAAATGATGGCAGCTAGCATTAGGCTAGCTGTTAACATGTCGGTTGTTAAAATAGGGCCTCACTTTCACTCATGCCTCTGCTTAAATTACAACCAAGTAACGTAAGGTGTAATATGGCCTCTTTTTGGCTGAGCAGTTTGCTGAAAACATGTTTAATATTTTAGTAGCAAACTTACTGCAGTTGTGGTATTCCAGTAAATGTCATCTTTGCTGGCTGTGCTATGTGCTAACCTAAGAGGTACAAATGGTCCGATGATGGTCCATCAAAAGAACATACAAGATGTATCAGGGATGTCATGTCCTTTAGAGAAACAGAACATTTAAAAAGTCATCTTTTTACTTAAGGGGAAACATTCTTTCAATGGCAGGCTTCGATTTATTCAGTATTGTGTCAACATGCCAGTGTTGATTTTTCTATTTGAGAATAGAAACCGTAGGATGTATTTCATGGGATTATAAAATACAGGAGATATTATTCTCTTTTCTACATTTACAATAGACATCTAACTGTGCAGCGTCCCTCATTAACTGCTGGGAGTTTATTAAAAGCTGAAATCGAGCATGTGAAGTGCTGTATTCCTGCACTCAGGAAACCCTTACACACACAGAAATGATACAGTAGGTGGGCCACTCCCTTCCAGCTCCTCCTCCAGCATGTGAAAGGGCTGTTTAGACTGGCATCACCGCCGAAGTGTCAGCCAAGAAAGCAGAGAGGGGGGAAGAGTTGTTTCTGCAGAGGTTTTGTTCCCCTTGAGAGAAGTTAGCCATTGTATCAAACCAGATCTGGTTGCTAGGAGCGTGACTGTGTATGTCCTGCTTCAGACTGCCCACTGTGGTATGTACAGTGAAGAGGAAAAGGTTGTTTTCTCCTCTGAGTCATGTTCACTCCTTGAATCCCAAATTTGTGTCACAGGGTTAACTTTGGGTACAGATCTGAGTCTGTGTGAGTCCTGTTATAAGGTGTGTGACAGGGTTTAGTACAGCGACAGTAATTGAGATGAACCTTTAACGCCTGATGTGTGGTCTGCTGGAGCCAAGAGGAAATGTCTTTCCAGAGAAATGAACACAACACTGAGCCTATCTGGAACTCCTACTCCTTTCTAAATATACTTCTAATCAAATCCTATTGAAACAGCACTGATAAAGCACCAATGTCTAGAGATTCTTGCTCCATAATTTATTCCAAAACAGACCTTTGATGAGGGGACTTGAAAATAGGTTTAACAGGCTCTCTCTCTGAAATTGATTAGGTCCTGTGTTGCCTATGGGTAAATTAGAATTAGAGCTGCAACAGTTATCTGATTTATCAATCAATCAACAGAGAATGAATCAGCAGCTATTTTGATAATCAAATAATTGTTTGAATACATTTAGAAGCTAAGTTACCAAATATTTGTTGGTTCTAGCTTCTTAAATGTAAGGATTTGATGCTTTTCTTTGACAGACATGATGGTAAGCAAACTGAACATTTCTGGGGTATGGACGTTGGACGTATGGACATTTGAAGGCATCATCTTGTAAATGATGTTGGGCATTTGTCACTATTTTCATAAGCATTTTATAGACAAAACAATCAAGAAATTAATTGGCAGATTAAGTGATCATGAAAATAATATTTATTTGCAGCCCTAATCAGTAGAGAGAGCATCATTCCTACCACTGTGCTGAAGGTAAGAGTGAGTGATATGTTCCTTCGATGTAAGAGCAGGTTTAGGAATATTTCAAACATAAAATTCAAGACAGAATCAAGAAGCACATCATTTTCTTTTTTGTTTCTTTTTGACCAGAACATCTTTGTATGGTATTCTCATACTGTAGTTGATTTTATCAGGCAGGCGAAATATACTAAACTTTGGTTCATACGAGTAAATCATTTTCAGTTTTCTTGATACTGTGGCGAGCATTAAAGCATTTTTTTAATTTATTCTGACATGCAACAAATGAATTAGCAATAAAAACATTGTGATTTAACTTTTAAACGAAAATATATGAAGTTGACTTTACACTGTTGGATCCGTGAGGAGGTTTCACAATAACAGTTATCAATGCCAGAAGGAAAACGGCAAATGATTCACTACTAAACTCTGTTGAAACCAATGTGGTTAGCAAGAAAGAATGCCGGTTTAGGGCTAATGTGGTGTGTCATTTCTTATCTGAGCATTTCTCTATCAACAACAGCAAGCAACAATTTACATTTTATGTGTGTATCATAACTTAATATAACATAATATTTACAGTGACAGGTTGGAGGTATTGCATTAGGTTAGGGGTTTAATGTCTCATGGTGGCTGATCAAAATCAGTTTAATATCATAGTTGGTGGGAAATAAAAAGTGCTATGTTAAAGATTTGGAGTTCATTTTAGTGCAGTTTGAACAGTATTTTCTGCTCTGTGTCTGGGAAGCAAGACGTGACATTTACATATATTGACACAAGACCTCTTAAAGGTCCAGTGTGTAACCTTTAGGACGATCTGTTGGCAGAAATGAAATATAATATTCATAGGTATGATTTCATCAGAGTATAATCACCTGAAAATAAGAATCATTTTTTTTGTCAAATTAGAATGAGCTGTTTTTATCTACAGACACTAGGTTGCTTTCCATAGAGTCCACCATGTTGAACCTCCATGTTTCTACAGTAGCCCAGAAGGGACAAACCAAACACCTTTCACAGCCACTGTAGTTTCTCCCCCATGCTTGGAAGTTGGAGGGTGAAACAAAGAAGTTGCGATCTGCAACTACAACGCCATATGCCACTAAATCCTACACGTTGGACCTTTAAAGCTACCTAATCAATACTTTTATATTAACAATGGATCAAATGATTGTGTGATGTTAAAGTGGTCGCTCGTAGCGACCAATAAACAGATGAGTATCACCCACCTCAACAGTTGCACTATACGCTATATGGAGAGTTTTAGCCTCTTTTAACTCATTGTTTTGGTTTTACGGTCTGGATCTTGAGACCAAAACAGGGCAATGAAAAGAATGAATGTTGGACTTACTTTCGTCAGGTGGACAGAAACATCACTTCAAGTGAATGCTAATGTTGGTCTGCGGCTGTAAGCACTCGTTTACCATAGCAACTTTATAAGGTGATAATATGTAAATGCTGTGTTTACAGCTTGTTCTGCTGCCCCCAAGTGGCCAAACAAAATCAATGACCTCAGGACCTCGGAAGGTCAAGGTGAATGGTAGGGTGCACAAAGTGATAGTGAAGACTTCAGTTCACATCCTGCCTCCTATGAACCGGCAGTAACGGTGACCACTATTGTTCCCTTACCGTAACCACAGAGTTGCTCATTTCATTTGTATTGGCTGTTTTGGAAGGCACTAAAAAGAGATGTACTGACGAGGCTAAATTACAACTACTCCACAATCTGGCTTACTCTGGCTTTGTTAGCTCCTTTGTAAAAGGCTGTAGAAACACAATTAATCATGAGCACTAGGATCGAGTGTCAGGGTCACTGTGCCATCCTGCTCTTTCTGTCTAGGAAGGCAGATTCACATACCGGTACTTTACATCTTCTAAAGAGCAAAGGAAGTGGCTTTACCTCCAGGAAAGGGAGAAGAAATATGTGGCAATCTTAATGTTCATATCAAATATTTGACAAGTAGAAAATGTGCCCGTTTGCATGAGCACATGATTGTGTAAACACTAGAGTCACAAAGCCGTTTCCCATAGCCTGGAGGCAGTGTTCTGCTCTGTGTGCCACTCCCAAGAGCCTGGGAGGAGGCCATGGAAGGAGGGGCCTGACTCCCCTGTCTCAAGCCCACACAGGTGAACTCCTGTTGGGGTGGAATGCAGCAGGGAGGGGGCTTTGACACACAGAGGTGTGGAGCTTTTAATTTCAAACAGGGTGGGGATGAGATAGAGGTACAGGAAGGGAGTTAACCCTCTCCGTCACAGCCACTCACCTGGATAGAGAAGGGAGAGTGTGTGTGTGGGTGGGTGTGTGTGTGTGTGTGTGTGTGTGTCCACAGAAGCTAAAGGAGGGATCGAGTCGCAGCACACACAGTCATATTCACTCAGTTGGTCTGAGTCTCACTGTCTCTCCTATCTCTCTCTCGTACACACTTAAAACCTCCTGCACAGACGCAGAAAGACACACACACCCAACTCAGCTGAGTTTGAGGGCAAATAAGTCAATATTTGACCAGACCGGACTGTACAGGAAGGAAGTAACAAAAGAAAGAAAAGAAAATTGGAAGTCTGTCCTTCTCTTCTTGTTGGAACTTTGACACAAGGACTTGAAGAAGTTTTTTTTCTCCAGGTGGATACAAACTTTCCCCAAACTCTTGGGTCAAACAAAGCAAAAGGGGAATTAGTTTTTTCTTATTTATTGTTGGACTTTTGGACTTGGACTGGGCGAGAGCGCTGTAAGAGGTTTGTTTGATCAGTAATCTCTTTGTATCCAGTCATAAATGTCCTAATGGCTCCATTGTTTTCAATGTCCTTCACTCTTAAACGTGTTCTTCTCAACCTTGCAACATTTACTGATTATTCTGCTGGTTCATGTTTATCTGACTTTTGAGCAAGGTGTATGGCTGTAAAGTGTGCGTTATGTAACTTTATATCTCACCATGTGGTTTTAGAATTGCATCCAATATTTGGATTTAGCTTAGTTTCTCTTGAATCTCTCTTTTTTTTCTTTTTTTTCTGCATGACTGCCCACATCAAAGCACAGACTACAATGCAACACAGGTGAAAGACACTGGTTCAGAACAAACAGTAGAGAGACAGTTCCCAGTGTTTATATAAGCCACTCTGCTGACGGCTACAGACCTGCTGTATTAGTTTGCTATTTGGGCTTTTTCAGGTGGAATACAGTGATAGCTTCAAACGCAGGGGTTTTCCAGGTGTGTGCCGCTGTGATTTAACTTACTGTCAAAGGCAGGTCCCTGAGCATGACCCCTAAATCTTTTACTAAAGACCTCTACCCCTCACCCCACCACAGGGGTCAGACCCACACCCAGCGGTGGTATGTTCACCTGGCAGGCATGCAACAACTTTGAACTCAGAAAAAAAAAGTCCCCTCTTGCTTTCTTTGTGCCACGGTGTCATTCAGACCAAAGAGAAAACAGCATGAATGACTCAGTTCTATTTTCTGTCCCTTGGAAGCTGTAATTTGTGTCTCCCAGTTTATTGTCGGTGTCATAAACGCCTGCGTGCCTTTGATTTTGTCCGAGAAGGAGGAAAAACACAAAGTGCTTTTTCTCTACTCGGCTCATATTCTGTGACTGGTGGTCAAGTTTGGAGGATAGGAGCTGGTCTGTTCTGTTTTTTTCCCTGACCCATCTCGGCCAGTGATTTATGTGTGACCTTATGGCATGAACTCCCCCCCACACACACACACACACACACACACACACACACAAGCGCACACACCTGTAGTCAGCTCAAATTCACAGCGAGGTGCTAAGGTGCCTTTCCCATGTGTTTTCAGGCTGTGTTTTTAACTTGGATGGGTCATTCTCTCGCCTCAAGGAGAAATTCTTTCTCAGAGTTGTAAATCTTCACAGCACAAATCATAATTTTTTTGTGCCCTGCAGTGGCACGTACAGTATTCAGTTATCTGCCCACTGAGACAATTACTGAGACATTTCATGCCACATAGTGCCCTTTGTTCACTCTCCACCTCCTGTCTTTAGTGGAGATCATTTTTTGTTGCTTCCTGTGTATCAGATTGTTCCCCATCCAAGATTCCAGCATAAAATTATAAAGCGGTTTTATTGTGAAGTTTACACAGCACGCTGCCTGGAATATTTCCAGGTCCCGCCCTGTATTGGTTGATGATTTTGTAATGCCTCTGTTGGAAATTAGCAATGTGAGAATAGTAGACGTAATTTAAAGCTGTATGAAAGACATTACTCAGCCACCTATTTCCAGGTATAAAGAGCATGTTTATATTAGAATATGAGAATAGCGAATAAAAAACTTTGAAAGGGTCTTTGCACCCAAGTTCCAAAAATATTCAGTATCTAGCCATTTTATTTTTCCGGGTTTGGAGATATCTGTCTTTAAGATTCCTGCCTCAAACTCAATAAATGGAGATAAATGGAATTTTGGGTATTGAAAACGTTGGACATTCACATTAAAAAAAGTCCATGCGAGTATCTATTTCCACAAGCAGAGTTTTCAAAGTTCCTTCTATAGAAAGTAGTTTCAAAGGAACTCTTCACAGTGTTTGACAGCAGACAAAATCTCCATTTACCTCCATTGTATGGGGATAAGGGCAGCAATCCCATAGATACATATCTCAAAACCTGAGCACCCAAACTATTTGCATGGCTACATACCACTACAGTTGTAGATAGGTCCCTGTTTATGTCCATATTCAGGTATAAAATGTTTAGATTCTTTAAATAGCTTTCAGTTAGTTTTGGGAGAGGGAAACTGTTTTTTAAAAAGTCGGCTTCTCTGAAAGTACAGAGTGTCTTTCTGTTTGAGCCGCTCTCAGATAGCAGCTCTTTTCACAAACTGAGGTGAAGGTAAAGGGAGTGTCTGGGCCTGTCCACTTTCTCTGGGGCTTGACTGAGGGAAAGTACAGGTGGTTCAAGTTACACCTTAGTCTGCAGAGATATCCCCGGGGGATAGGAGTCTTTCTCTCTCTCTCTCTCTCTCTCTCTCTCTCTCTCTCTCTCTCTCTCTCTCTCTCTCTCTGTCTGTCTGTAACAGTGGGTCTTAGCTGCATACATCAATGTGTTTGTTTGTTTGTGTTTCTGTTACAGGAAGGAGATGGGGAGATGGACGTTACATCTCTCAGTGAGCCTTGGGCTTCTAGCTGTCCTGTTGACCTGCTGCTATGCTGAAGGTGAGGAAGCCCAGAGTCATAACTAATCTCTAATCATTTATCTATTTCACTACAAGTCATTTATTGTTACTTTATATTATAGTAGCCTAAATAGGATGGTTGGGTATCTGTTTCTTTAGGTAAATAGTTGTAACACAGACATAGGGAGGGGTGAGCTTATTTACTGATGAACACAGTAAGATAAAATAACAATTATTTTAATCATTTAACGAGCAAAATGGCCTAAGTATTTCTAGTCTACAATTCAAGCCTGTTTAAAATGTAGGGATTTTTAGATTTTCAGTGCTTTATATCATTAAATGATGAATATTTGGGATTTCTTTCACTTCTAATCTGAAAAAAAAATCATATTGAAGACATTACCTTGGGGAGACAGTGAATTGAACGGTTCACTAATTTCTGTCATTATACTGACTAAGTGATTGCTAAAACTAAATTAAACTAAATAAAGCTCAGTTAACTTGCTATCAGACTATGTGTGTATGGCATAGTGAAATATGACTGAAGCCACAGTATATACAGTATATCATGTTTCTTGTATTTGTGAGGATTTTTCTTAAAGATCAGATCAGGGAATCTTATATAAATATATTTATTATCTACCTGTTTGTTTACTACTGTATCACTGTTAGTGTCCTGTTGTTTTCAGCATCGGTTTCACTTTAACACTATCAGTAGAAAATAAGGTTACGTGCCAAAGTCTGTTTAGAGTTACTGCAGGTATTCTAGCTATGTTTCATGGGTTTGATTCTCACTTTGTTGCCACTCTGGGACTCCTCCTGACACTCTCCCCTCCTGATCTCCCTCCGCCCCCCTACAGTGAACCACTGCTTCGCTTCCAAGGCCAAAACTTGCTCAGAATGCCTGCAGTCTGGGAAAGACTGCGCCTACTGCCCTGATGAGGTGAGAGGACAGAACAGCAAGAGTATAAAAGAACTGGATTCAAATCTATCAGGGCTGTAGCATTCCTCAGGGAAAACCCCTTTTTTTATATATAAAAAAAAACACAAAAAAAAAAAAAAAAAATAAAAAAAAAAAAAAATTAAAAATAAAAAAAAAAAAAAAAAAAAAAAAAAAAAAAAATTTAAAATGTTTTTATTAAATAAGGGAAAGAAATTTGAAGGGGGAGAATAAAAAAAAAAAAAAAAAAAAAAAAAAAAATAAAAAAAAAAAAAAAAAAAAAAAAAAAAAAAAAAAATTAAAAAAATAAGTTAATGCTAAGAAATAAAAACTAACTAATTAAACTTCCTGTTTGCGCAGACCTTTACTGGCCCTCGATGTGACCTGTACAACAATATAATTATCCACGGCTGCAATGCTGCTGCTGTAATCACAGCTAAGAGCAGTATCAAGATAGAAGAAGTAAGTCTTAACCACCCTCATTTGTCTTCCAGTCATTCCACCATTCTTTGGTCTTAAATGTATGTTTTTGTTTAAAATTCAAAAGTATGAAATCTAAACTTAACCACGGTTTTTTCCTGCTCAGGCACAAAAAATCAACATGAGGCTTCAGCAGTCTCAAGTGTCCCCACAAAAGATGAGCGTGCAGCTTCTTCCGGGAGAGGAGAGGCTGGTGAATGTGGAGGTGTTTACTCCGACCAGAGGCCCTCTGGACCTTTATATTCTTATGGACTTCTCCAACTCCATGGCTGACGATTTGGACAACTTGAAGAGGATGGGCAAAGAGCTGGGTGAGCATTTTTGGACTGGCAGTGTGTCATGATGACAAGATAAGTGATAAGTTGACGACGTTAATACTGATGTTGAATGTATTTCCTGCAGCTGTATTGGTGGAGAAGCTGTCAAATGACTACACCATTGGGTTTGGAAAGTTTGTGGACAAAGTGATCGAACCCCAGACTGACATGAGACCCTCCAAGTAAGAGAGAAAATGACATGAACACATTGCAGAAGCACATACATTAAGTAGTGTAATCTAATGTACATGTCATAACCTCTCTCTCTTGTCTTTTGTCTGTCCTCCTTCCACCTTCTCAGACTCGCACAGCCGTGGCCCAACAGCGACCCTCCGTTCTCTTTCAAAAATGTTATCAAGCTGACCACAAACTTAGATTTCTTCAACAGTGAGCTCCAGAGAGAGAGAATATCTGGCAACCTGGACGCTCCTGAAGGAGGTTTTGATGCCATATTGCAGGCTGCAGTTTGTGGGGTTAGTAAGAATACTAAATACAAAACAGATGTTGCTCAGGCTAAAACTTACCTCTTAATTCTCTGTTCAAGTCAGACCATATAACTTTTGGAAGAAAAGATAAACCAAGTTTTTTGTTGAATTTGTTAAAAAATAAAACGCACCTTTGCTCAATTTGGTACACTTTGGTTTTGCTGCTACAGCCTTACTGGTATGGTAAAGCTTATGGTGATTGATGTTTAGGTACATAATGCGGTGTAATTGACATTAGTGATTCAGTTCACTGACTTTATGACTCTTCTTTTCTCATGCTACTGTTACTACTGTTTTAGCATGTCACAGATAAATATTTCAGAAGTAAGCGGAAGCAGAGGAAGCAGAGGAAGTTTCTTGCTTGTGATCCTCTTAATGTCAATCACCTAATAATGATGTCTTTAAAGTGGCTATAATCAATATTTTTATAATAATAATGGATCAAATTAGAGTGTGTGATGAACCTACAGCAAATTATCATCAAACCCTCCAGTTTCCCTCAGCTCTACAGAGCTTTTTTTACCATCTTTCAGCTCATTGTTGTTGGTTTGTTACACAGAACCATTTGGGAAGTTGTTGGAAACTGGTTGGAAAAGGGCAGGCACTTTCACAAAATACTTTGCATGAACCATCTGTCTATCATGTTCTGTCACAGGTGAATTGTTATTTTTGAGCGAACAGTCACTTCTCACACATGAAATCACACACACCCAGCATTAAACCATCCCTACCTCATGCTGTAGCTGCCAGTAGTTCCTCATAGGACACTGATCGGTCTAAACCACTGTGGTTCGGACACAAGCGGACATAGCGGGAAGCCTGGCAAAAATGGATTCTCACCAAATATGCACCTTTTTATTTATTTTACCTGCGGTTATTCTCTACTAACTACTGTATTTTCTGCTCCCATTTGATTGTTCTTCTTATTCTAGGATAGGATTGGTTGGCGCGATAACAGCACACATCTCCTGGTTTTTTCCACTGAATCAGCGTTCCACTACGAGGCTGATGGTGCTAACGTGCTGTCAGGAATCCTGCCTCGCAACGATGAGCAATGCCACCTGGACGCAGCTGGCAATTACACAGAGGATATAAACCAGGATTACCCTTCGATACCTACACTGGTCCGCCTGCTGGGCAAACACAATATCATACCCATCTTTGCTGTCACCAACCACTCCTACACGTACTACAAGGTTGGTGGGCTTTAGTTATTCAGCTTTCATTTGAAGTTATGCTCCAAAAACATGTCATGGATTAATTTTTTGTATTGTGTGTGCTTCTCTCTGTAGAAACTCCAAGAATATTTCCCCATTGCTGAGGTTGGTCTGCTGCAAGAAGACTCATCCAATATCCTGGAAGTCATGGGGACTGCTTTTGAGGTTAAACGTCACCTCCTCTGACAGTTGTCAAGTGGAAGAATGACGATGCTGCAGAAAATGCTGATGTTCTCATGTGTCCTTTCAGAATATCCGTTCTAAGATGAGCATCCGTTCAGAGGAGAAACCCAAGGCTTTTGAGACACAGTTCTTGTCCACCAGTGGAAGCCTGGCACAATACGGGAATTTTGATTTTAAACCTGGAGCAATAGTAAGAAGAAAAACAAGATGAAAAGAACTGATTTCAACACACAACATACACTCATTTTGGATTTAGGAGACCACATGTTGTTTTTATAAGCTGATAGGTTGATATTTCGTGCTTACAACTAATATATTCATTATATTTTTATTTATTATTTGGTTTCTTAAATGTATTTTCCATTGGGACTTTTACAATTACAAATAGTCTACACTTCACTCCATATTTTTGATAATGCATGAATATACATTTAAAGGTAATATATATATGCCTCTGGATGCTGCACTAGAGTACCAGCATCTCAGACCAAAACAATGGGTGCTTCGGCCGACACCATCAACAAAACTAGTAATTGTACCTAGCAGATAATGGTGAAACTTACTTCAAACTAGACAGAAACAAAATAAAACTCAATCAATGGTCGAAATAAACCCATAAGTCACTGAGTTCGATGAGAAAATAGCCTTGAAATGGGCTGGCTGTGTTGGAAACAGAGGGACTCACATTCACTACCATGCACATGCATCCAGACCGACTTTGCGCTACTTTACATTAATGTTTTAAATCTCACACGTATAACCTTTAAAGGGTAAAACTATAGATAAATGAAAAGTAAAAAGGTTAAAAAAAAAAGGCACAGTTTCTATTTCCCTCTTCATCTTCTTATTCACCTACAAGTTTTACCCAACAGATATTGCTGTGGTCACATGAAATCCAAGGATTTTACTTAAGGAATTTACATACACATATTTAAAGCAGACTGTAATAAATTACACGGGGAAAAAAATGACCAAATCTTGTACCTCCTGCGATTATAAGCAGATACATAGATTTCCATTTGACCCTTTTCTAACTTCTGTTGTAAAATAGGGTCAGGTTTGGAGGAATCTATAGAGATCTTGCTGTTGTGTTGTGTTCCCTCAAATCTAGTCATTTTGTTGCCATAAATGATAGGGAATCAATCTATCACCAAAATTGTAATTGTCACGATGGCTTTACATTATTAATATCAAATGAATAATCTGTTTACACAAATTGTTGGCCGAATAAAATATGGAATAACTAAAATCAGTTTTTGTGGTTGTACAGACTATTTAACTGTAGTCAAGAAGTCTAAAATGTTCCTAACTTGTTGGTCTTACCATCTATGCTAAGACTCTCTATGCTTAGTATGCAATGCAATACAAATGTTCTTAACAGTGTGTGTGTGTGTGTGTGTGTGTGTGTGTGTGTGTGTGTGTGTGTGTGTGTGTGTGTGTGTGTGTGTGTCCTTCAGGGCAAGTTCCAGATGCGGCTCAAAGCCCTGAGAACAAGCGATGAGACGCCTGTCTGTCAAATGAATCCGGATGAAAAAGCAGGGATAATGAGAGTCAAACCTACAACCTTTAATGCTGCTGTCAGTGTTAATGCTACGGTTTTGTGTCCAGTCTGCGACTGTGAGAAGGTAAACTCACACAGATTAACACATTAAAGCGCACAAAAGGTCGAGATGAAGTCACTTACTCACACTTCTTTATGGCAGATTAACCCCAGCTTGTCTTTTATGTGTCCTCCAGACACCCATCCTTAAAGCAGCCAGATGCAATGGCAACGGAGACCTGGTGTGCGGCAAGTGTCAGTGCAGTGATGGCTGGTGAGACTTTAATTATTAATTCTTACAAAGAATGTATAATTAAAATCCTTATTTTTACCTTTCTTCTTGCACCTCTGCCAAGTGATGAACTGTTTCAAAAAAGTCTTTGTCTTCTCTTTGTTGTGTCCATGTGTCTCCTTCAGGCTGGGTGCATTCTGTAACTGCTCAGCAAGTGTTTCAGCTCAGGCCAAAGACCAGTGTAAAGGCCCGGGCATGGAAGAGCCTTGTTCAGGTCGCGGAGACTGCCTGGAGTGTGGAACCTGTGTGTGCCACCAGGAACAGTTTGAGGGAGCCTACTGTCAGTATGACAAGACCCAGTGTCAAAGATATGGTGGCTTTCTCTGCAACGGTACGACGGTTTGTGATTGTTGAATTAGCAATCAAAGGTTGTATGTATGTGTATGATGTCACCATCACCGCTATTGTGCCATAATGCTATTGTGCTATTTATATACAGTACATAAAATGTCATATATACTGTTCTTTATATACCATTTATATACATACAAAAAAAGTGATAAAACAGTTCACTCTCATTCTTTCTTCCCCTATCAGACCGTGGCTCTTGCATTATGGGTCAGTGTGCGTGTACTGTGGGCTGGGAGGGCAAGGCCTGTGAGTGTCCCAAGAGCAACCAGACCTGTCTGGACAACAAGGGCGTGAGTAGAGGGGACAATGTTTGTTGTTGTAGATGAGGTTATGTCACCTTGCATGTCAGTTGGTGCCTGACTGTGCCTTTATCTGGACCAGGGTGTCTGCAACGGGCGCGGTAAATGTGTGTGCGGCCGCTGTGAGTGTCCAGACTCTGCTGTCGAGATGACTGCAACCTGTGAGCCAAATTTCCAGGTGTGTTGATGTAATGTATAAATATGTGTATTTACAGTATGTCACAGGGTGTACATTGGAATCAATTTCAACTTCCAACACAATTTCTAGTTTTTGCTTTTTCAATTACACTCAATGCCTCATATCATACCAGATATGCTTTTAGCTTTATAATATTAGTTAGTGTTTCTGTGCAGTCCTGTCTGACAAATGTTTGTGTGTTTGTGCCCTGTCTAGGCCCAGTTGGGCGTGTGTGAAGCTACAAGGAGCTGTGTCCAGTGTCAGGCATGGAAGACCGGAGAGAAGAAAGAGGAAGAGGAGTGTAAAAAGTGCCCCTTCAAAATTGTCATGGTGGATGAACTCAAAGAATGTAAGGACGTATAAGAGGATCTTAATGGCTGTGATTTGCTTTTCATTGAAAAACACTTAGTAATAGTTCAATGTGCGTGGATGTGTTTTCAGCGAAGAAAGTGCTTGATTCGTGCAGTTTCCGTGATGAGGATGACGACTGTACGTACCACTACACTGTCGAAAACCCCACAGATCCAACAGTTAAAGACTTGGAGGTTCAAGTGCTCAAAAAGAAAGGTGAGTTGCAGGTTGCATATGTATCATACGAACTCTTTGCTTTCATTTCAGCAACTGATGTATCATTTTTTAAAACACTTTCTTGTTGCAGCTCAAAGTGCAGTGCAGTAAAAGAAAATATCTCTGCAGTCTATTAATGATATAACAGGAGCATGCACATAAATAGATTTGTAAACAGGTACCAGGTTCTTAAAGAGAAGCTTCACCCACATTTAAAAAAGAAATTGAGTTCATATTTAAAACAGGGCTAAAATAAGTTGTTTGACCCCTATTGATCTCCCTATCTTTGTGCATTGTGTACCCTGTTGTCTCCACATTACCATTAATGTCCAAGTCCAGTGCGCATAGTAAGGCAAGTCAGTTTTATTTATATAATATCACAAATCACACCATTTCCTCAAGGGGCTTTACAACCTTTAGACCCTCTATTGTGGGAGCTCATCTACAAAACAGGACCACATCATAAATGTTAATGAGATTACCAAAAAGCTATTGATGCATAGAACCTGGGGCCTTTTGGGGTCCTTTGGGGTCTCACTTTGCACAGTTGGTTATCCAACCTAGATTGGAAGGAAAAGTGTTTTGTGGATAAGTCGCCTTTTTTAATGTAATTTTTCAAAGGTGTGAGCGCTACAAACTAAATTCTTTCAACATTGTTGTGTTTCTAACTTTATTTACTTTTCGTGACAAACCTTCAGATTGTCCTGCTGCTAGCCTCCTATGGTTGCTCCCACTCCTCTTGTTCCTCTTGTTACTGCTGGCACTTCTGCTGCTCTGCTGCTGGAAATACTGTGCCTGCTGTAAAACCTGCTGCCAGGTATAAACACTCATATTTACACCTGTAAATTATCAATATTTATATTTAATTACCAGTGGAAGTAATGCCTTTTGTCTTCTCTTGACACAGAGCTGTCTTGCCCTGCTGCCCTGCTGCAGGAGAGGTAAGTTTGTTACATTACACATGACAGTATTCTTTGAATCCTTCATCCTCCCACCTGGGACCATGTTGAGTATGAGTCACCTTATGTATATTCTCTCAGGACGCATGGTTGGCTTCAAGGAAGATGAGTATTTGCTCCGCCAGTCTCTGCTTACCTCAGACCATCTAGACACACCGATGGTGAGGACCGGCCCACCCAAAGGAACCGATGTGGTTCGCTGGAAGGTCACTGATAATGTACATCGAGGACCAAACCACCCCCAGGCTCTGATAAAGCCCAACCCTAAAGAGATCAGTGAGTGATCCGATGTTTGAGCAGCAACAAACTGACCTACTGCATTAGGGGAAAGGCAGATGTTGGATTTAAAGATAAGTTTAAATAGTTAAAACCTCTGCTTCTTCTTTGTGGTTCTTCTTTCCCCCTCTAGTCCAGTTCCCAATCTCCCTCCGGCTAAACAGGTTGTTCTCTGAGAACCTGTCTCGCCCCGAGTCCAGAGACGCTGAACAGCTCCGAAAGGAAGTGGCTGATAATGTGAGTGTGTTTTTGTTTGTTGGTGGGCACATCTATGAATGTATAAATGATGACTGTATCGCTGAGTCCTGTATTTGTTCTTTTATTCAGCTAAATGAGGTGTACAAGCAGATTCCTGGTGCCCAGAAGGTGCAGAAGACCTCGTTCAGGTAAGAAACAAATGTTAAACTGCATGTCTAGTTGCATACAGTATGTTTGTTTTTGTAAATAGAAAATAGAAAAAATAGAAATTAAATGTCTGTTCCTTAACTCATTAATACCTTTTTTGGTTTTTGCAGAATGCAGAGAAATGCTGGAAAAAGGTAAAATACAATACAAGAGTTTATTGTCTTTTGAAGTAAGCAAAGATAATGCATGTCTAACTTCTCTGCCTCTCCTGTGCTCCTCAGGCAGGACTACGCTATCATGGACACAGTCTTGTCTGCTCCACGCGGCAACTACCCTGATATTGTCAAACTCACTGAGAAAAATGTCCAGTCTGGAAACATAAATGACCTCAAAGTGGTGCCCGGCTACTACACTGTGGCCACAGACAGAGGTGTGTGTGTTAACTATTCATGTGTGTGGCTGAAAATAAAATTTTCACATGTACAGTTTCATGTACAGTTTGTAGCAAAGTTAAACTAATCATTTTCTGACCTCTGCTGAGCAGCTTATATCTCTATTAGTCTTGCCATAAATCGTGTGGTTTCAACCACTCTTCCTCTGCAGAGGCTGCTGGAGCCATAGAGTTCCAAGAAGGTGTGGAGTCAGTAGACGTTCACGTGCCGCTCTTCGTCAAGGATGAAGACGATGACAAGAAACAGCTACTGGTGGAGGCCATGGATGTGCCACTGGGCATTGCTGAGATTGGAAAACGTTTGGTCAACATCACTATCATCAAAGAGCATGGTGAGAAATTTTAGATTTCATAGATTTGCACTTGAAAATACAATTTTAGCTTTGTATGTAAATCTTTTCATAAAAAGAAAACAATAGGATCAACTCATCAGAGCTGTGACCTGAACTAATGGGAAAGGGAAGTGTTCACTCTGGATTACTCTAATGGATTCTCCCCTTCATATTCCCCAGCCACCAGTGTCTTCTCGTTCCTCCAGCCTTTCTACACCTACAGCAGGCAGGATGGGGTGGCCAACATCCCAATCAGCAGAGAGATCATAGAAGATGGACGCACACAGGTCACCTACCGCACACGGGACCTCACAGCCAAGGATAAGAAGGTGAGCTGATGCCTGTGTACTGCCCTACAATTGTTGATATGGTTATTTCTACTGTAACTGAAATGGCTTTGACATTGTGAAAAGGGCCTTCAGAGTTTGAAATGAGATACAGGACGGAAGCAGGGCTGTATTCTGTATTATTATAACTTGTTCTTTCTGTGTATATTAGGACTACGTGACTGTGGAAGGGGACCTGACATATGGTCCTGGTGAGACTCAGAAAACAGTGCCTGTTCGTCTGCTGGAACTGGGCGAGAAAGACGGCCTCCTGGAAGACAAACAGGTCAAGCAGTTTGTCATGGATCTCAGTAACCCACGGCAGGGTGCCAAGCTGGGACGCTACCCGAGAACTACGGTCACCATCGCAGACCAACCAGGTGAAAGAGAACGCAAAGTTTTTAAATCAGTGTGTCATACCCTTTCTCCCAGTCAAAGCACAGATTGCTAAGGTTTCTTCTCTTCCTTTCATTACTGTATTTTATCTAGAACCCAGTGTGATGATGTTCAAAAAGGGCACCCAGAATTTTACCACATCTGATCCAACCTACACCATTCCCGTGGTCCGCACTCGCAACCAGGACAGCCCCGCCACAGTGAAATGGCGCACCAAGAAGGCCCAGCGCTTTGAGCTTTCCGGCCCACTAAAGTTTGCTCCTGGAGAGACGGAGAAGAACATAGTGATCGACCCGAGGGCCCACCCTGGTCCAATACAGCCAGAGACCATCCAGTTGGAGCTGTTTGAGCCAAGTAGCAACGCTTCAGTTGGAGAGAGGAAGACCACCCTTGTCAATGTCACTGAAGGAGGTAAGAGAAGAACATGGAACTAACAATACCACACAATAGCATATGTAGAGTTTCTGGAGTTGTGACATTACAGATTTTATATGATGAGAGAAGGGACGTATCAGAGGTTCTGTATCTGGTAAACGTTTGTTTTATGCTCTTCCACTTCCTGCAGCTCCCAGATCTCCAGAGGTTGCCCAAATGCAGCAGAAGGGCTACATAAACCCGAAAGCCACTTCCCCTGGTGGTCACCTTATCGCCCCAGATAACCCTAAGGCCAAAGCAACTGGACCCAGAAGCATCCGCCTCAACTGGGACCCACCGCCTGGTAACCCCATGGGGTACAAGGTACATCAAATCTACATGTTGAGAAGCTTCGCCTTGAGTTTATAACCATCATTTACAACAGACACAGTATTTCTTAAATGCATGCAATGTATCTTTTGTTACCTTGTGTATTTTAGGTAAAGTACTGGATCTATGGTGACCCAGAGAAAGATGCACAGGTCTTAGATGTGAAGACCCCTCAAGCTGAGCTGACCAACCTGTACCCCTATTGTGACTATGAGATGCGAGTGTGCGGCTACAATGCAATGGGAGATGGCTACAATACAGACGTTGTTACCTGTCAAACACTGGAGGATGGTAATTACTGAGAATTACTGCTGGAGATAGCAACTGGTTAAAAAGTTATTCTCTTGTAAAGGGAATTCAGGAGCTTTTTGTTTGTTTTTGGTGTAATTTAATGGGTTGCACCTACTATTCTTAAATGCATCCCTAAGTTTGAATGTAAAGTTCTTTCTAAGCTTTTATCAATGAGCAGGTTTCAGATGAGTGATTTACTAAACCAGTTTGCACCATTAAAACAAAAATTATGTCTTAGCTAAGGTAGGAAACACTTTGGCAATGTCTAAATCTGTTGCTAGAAAACATGTGTAGTGTGTAGACTGTGTAACACACATGGAGTGTTTCAGAATCAGTAGTATTCATACAGTTTAGAATGAGTGGATAATGCTAAGCTAGTTGTGTTATTCAGCAATTTAGTCATTTGAGATATTTCATGCTATTTTTGTGAAATGTAAATGAAATTAATATTAAACAGTATTTCATCAGGTGCTAGGTTAAATTTGTCAACCGTATTCTATATTACCTCTTTAACTCCTCACTCTAAACTGGTAGGTCATATATTAGCAAGCTCGTGTTACTTTTGTTGACTTAGTTAGCTACGCAACAGTTACTCTGTGTCAGTATTTAGTAACAACTCATTTATACATATTAAACAAGTTTGTGCGGTGCAACCAGTTTAAATTTAGTGGCGTGTAAATCTTGACTTAGTAAACACTTTCGTTATAACTAGGCTAAGTTTGAATTAACGATTCCTGTTCTCTGTTTTTTCCAGTGCCTGGTGAACCTGGACGTCTGGCCTTCAACGTCATCAGTCCAACTGTCACTCAGGTCAGCTGGGGAGAGCCTGCAGAGACAAATGGCAACATTACAGCTTATGAAGTCATCTACACACCCATCGACGATGAACAGAGTAAGAGACTTACTTCAACCTAAGAAAGGAAATACTGTACAAATATTTGCAATATATAATGCTCATTATTTTCATCGCTCTTCTCACAGAGCCAGTGGGCTCCGCTAAGAAAGTAAAGATTGACAACCCCAAGAAGCGAATGCTGTTGATCGAGAACCTGCAGAACGCCCAGACCTACCAGTACAAGGTCCGTGCCAAGAACAGCGTGGGCTGGGGTCCCTTCAGAGATGCTACCATCAACCTGGCATCACAGCCTGCCAGACCTCTGTCCAGTAAGTCAGGGGAAAACACACCTCTAGAACACGTCCAGTTCATCTGTATTTCCCTGAAAAGAGATTTATTCCCTTCTCTTTCTGTCCCAAGTTCCCATCATTCCAGATATCCCTATTGTGGACGCAGAGGCTGGAGATGAGTACGACAGCTACCTGATGTACAGCAATGAAGTGTTGAAGTCCCCCGCAGGCTCCAAGACACCCAGCGTCTCTGGTGATGGTGGGTACCCAGAGCCAAAACCACAAGCTACTTACAACAGCTGACAGTGTAAACTCATTGTGCTAATGCTCTATTCTGATGCATTTTTGGCTCCTGAAAGATGCATGTGACTGCCAGACTATGTGAGCTATCGCTGCAGTATGGATCCAATTATTCACTGTTAGTGCTTCCAGACATTTTGCTTTGTTCTTGTAGCCACAGTGTTTAACCCAAGTGTTTTTGCAATGTGTGCTGTGGTCAGTGCCTGGTTAGGAGAGGAAATGGACAACACTGTGAAATGTTGGTTAGATCTGTGCTGTAGGAAATCTCCCAACTTGTGAGACTCCCTCCAAAAACAGCACGAGAAGGCCTCTTCTCCTTTTCTCTGGCTCTTTCTCAGTTTTTCTGTGATATTATTCCTGTTTTGCAATGGGGACATTAAGGAAGAGCTGTAAGAGTTTTGAAGCTCAACGATGGCATCATTCTCATGGCTCTGCCTTTTTTTTTATCATTTCCATCTGATGGGCAAATTCTCCTGCAGGAAACGCCCCAGCACGGCAGCAGAAAAAATCTGCTTCCAATGCATCCCCAGATCTCGGCAATAGAAGTTCTTTACGATCACAAACCGCAAGGACTTCCCTCACTAAATCTGCTGTCACTCTCCTGCTTTCCACAGCCGTTTTTGTGCTCTTAGTCAGCTTTTTTTGGAAGTTAATGCTGATGTTGCTCTTCGCCTTCAAGACAATTTGGACTATCTATAGATATATACATTATATAATCCCATTTATGTGCTTGGTAGCTTTTTTATAAAATAATGTAAAAGCAACCGTTGAAACTTCTTCGCAACAAATCTATCCATGGCCTGCTTGCTTCTCCCCTATGACCTCGAATACAAGGCTGGAAATATGTCAAGTTGGTGGGGTCCAACCTGGATCTCCGCAAGGTGTCGTGGAAAAAGCGAGTGGACATCATCCCCAGTCGGCTCAGCACAGACACAGAGACGAGCTCAGATGAGGCCCCCAACCCCAGCCACGCCAAAACACCCCAGCCAGGTGAAGACCACTCCATCAGACCCACAGATAGACAGACAGGCAGCTAGCATGCCAGCTGTTATGCACGTCCTGTCAGGTGCCCGGCAAGGCAACCAACGTTTCTTTCTGCCTCCGTGATTTGATCCTGTCAGAAATATCAACATTTGTCTAATCATTCAATTTCGGGCTTCAGTTCTTGTCCCCTTGCCCCTCGTTGGCACCTATCCCATCTATCCTCCCGCCACCTGCCCAGAGAGGAGCACTGGCATCAACTGCCCCACCTCCAGTTGATGATCGGGGGCAGGCTTTTCCAGGTGCCTGTCTCTGTCTGTCCTCTCTCCATCCCACTAGGGAGGTAGTGGAGGAGGCTTGTCGGGGGTGTGTGTGTAAAGGCTGTATGGAAATAATGGCTTCTTCATTACAGTCTCATTTCTGCAGGGCCGTTTCAGTGATGACACCTTTCCTTGCAGCTGTTAATTGTTTTTCTTGCAGCTGTGTTTGTTTTTATTTACAGATGTGCCTTTTTAGATGCAAAGCACCATATGAAACTGGTTTGTAAAAAAAATAGCAGCAACAGTTTAGATCTGCAGCTGAAGACATGTTGAGGTCGACACCTACAGGCAAAGAAAGTTAAGATTACTTTTAATTTAATCACCTGCACGTCTCGCAGGCATATTTAGCCACGCTACTGGAGGAATTACCCTGAAAGTTTGGACAGAAAGTCATGGTCTCCAGGTGTTGAATCCCATTCGTTTTTTTGTGAAACATCTCAACAGCTGTTAAATGGATTAAATGTGGCGCAGCTTTGCTAGGACTAATGACATTCCCATCAGCCTGAGCTTTCTAGCGTACTAAGATGCTAATATGATAAATATCTTAAACCATTACCATCCTGATGTTAGCATTTAGTTGGAGCTGCTAACATGGCTGTACACTAGGGTTGAGTACACGGCTGAAACAAGTGTCCGGTACAGATAATGTCCTTTTTACGGGTATCAACAGACTAAAATACGTCAATATACTACGTATAGTACTACGTGTTCTGTAAATAGTTCTGTAAAAACATGCTCAACTCTGGGGCTGTTCTGTAAATAGTTCTCTAATAAATATAGCAACCTCTGATTAACCAATATCAATGTCAGGCTTAAATTAACCCCTTCTGGGTAGTCCCTCCCACCTCCAGGTCAAGCACCACTCATGTCTGGTTGAAGCCCCGCCCTTTGTGAGAATGGACACAAGTACAGATAATTTAGTTCAACCGATACAGGTAATAGTGTACTTACTCATCCCTACTGTAGATAGCTGGTGTTAATTTACTTTTTTTTAGAATTACATTTATGTGTTATCTAAAATAAAACCAATAGAAAAATAATACTTCACTAAAAATAGATTTTATCTTACAGCTGTAAAACACAAAATAGCCTCTTAAGATATGATATAGTCACACTTTTACTAAAACAACAGATGAATTGTTCAGCTTTTACAAAAAGAAACAATGCCTCAATTCCAGAAGCTATTACTTTCTTTGCCTGTAGATGGCGCACACCTGCCAATCTAAACTGTTCTCGCTGTTTCTGTAACCTGTAGGTGGCTCAAGTAGGACTCAAGCTACAGATCTGACACTGCTGGTGCTTCCTCTATAGATTGGTTACGCCTGGTTTCGGGAGCTTGGCATCAATGGCACTGTGTTGTCCGAAATGCTTGAATGCTAACTGCTAAGCTCCCTGTGTCCTGTCTGTTGACAATTCTGGCTCCTGTTGTGGTGTTTCACAGATTACATGGTGAATGGGAAGTGGGACCAGAACTTCCTTTTCCCGGGGGGATCAGCAACTCGCAACCTGTCAGCATCGTCCTCTCCTATGTCCACTCTGAGCTCAAACTACAGAGGGGCAGGCGGATCCTTCACAGAAACAACCACCACCTACATGTCCGGACCAGGTAAAATGGACGCCAGAGATATTCAGAGAAAGTGTCCAGATATTATTTATCTTTACAGTGTTCTTCATCTTTCGCTCTTCTCGTAGGGAGCTCTCGTAGACAGGACATGATCGGAGGAGTGCAGACATCAGAAGTCATCATGAGGAAGCGCTCAGAGAGAGGTTACACAGATGAAAACATCCGGGACTCTATCGTCATGGGAGATGTTTCAAACAAGTTCCCAGATCTAGGTAAGCTTAGTGGTTTGAATTTATTCCAAAGTAAAAGTAAAAAGAACTAGCTTTGTCTTTCTGGTCAAAGAAAGATTTTACTTTGGAGTTGCAATATTTGAGATGCCTCGGCAGGTAAACTGTGCAGGCGCATGAGGCCGACGGCTTGGACATCTGTTAGCAGGGTTGGGGCTGTTGGCTGCACTGACTTTGCAGGAGCTATGCTGACTATCGCTGTTTCTCCCTCCCTCCCTCTCTCCCTCCCTCAATCCATCCCCTTGTCTCAACTTTGCTTTGTTTTGTTTTACCTCTCTCTACCTGCCCACCTCCCCCTGCTACTTCCATCGTTTCCTGTACCTCTCTTCATTACCTTCCCTCCATCCTCCTCCTTTGCCCCCCTCCTGCTCAACGCGCCATCAGGGTTCGGCTACACTGGGATGCAGAGCAGCTCTCAGAGCCAGTTCAGCTACAGCCTGTCTCAGGGTTCCAGGGCCAGGACCCAGTCTTCAGACGTCAATGAAGCCCTATATAACCTGGACAGGGTGCTCCAGGGTAAGTGTGCAGCATACGGGCATGAAGGCACTGGATGTGTTTGCTGGGTGTGACGCGTAATGCACTTGTCTTCAGTCATCTTGATTCCTGCCTCTGTGTTTGTCTCATACCTTTTCTCCCTCTCTGATCTCCTCTTCTCACCCGCTGTTTTGTGTTTTAGCCACCACAAATCATTTATACTTCACAATACATTATTCAGACCATGCCATGTGTTCAGCTGGTTTTCTGCTTTTTAGATAGCCATTCATTTTCATTCATTTGTGTATGCTAAGTTATGTTAACTTCACATGATAATTCAGTGGTGGCAGGAATGAAAACCTCTTGGTATTGTACCAGACATTCAAGAGTAGTCCAATGAACAGCAATGCATGAGACACAGACACATCCTCTGTTAATCTGGTGATTTCTTATAGTTGCACTGAGGACAGTTCTGCTCTGCAGAGGGTTTTAGCATCTTTAATCTCACTGTTTTGGTTTTCTGGCTCACTGTTTAGTTCAGTCTCACAGCGCTTATCAACCTCATCTCAATCAGAAAAGCTGTGATAGAATCACTGTACGCTACCTGCTCAGCACCAAATAGGTGACAAAGTTGGCACCTAGCTGGTGAATGTAGAGGAGGGGTTAACAGCAAAGGATCCAGATATTTTTCTCAGGAGTTGGCAGAAAACAGCCAAAAGACATTATTATTATAATATTAGACTTACATTCACCAGGTGGCGGGAAACACACGTCCAAATGAACATTGCTCTGTCTCTGCTGGAGGTGTACAGAGGCAGCTGTTTGACATATTTAGAAGAGTTTTGAAATCAGTCTTTACAACAGCCTCATTATAAACCAGTGATCATGTAACTGACCAGAAAATAAAGATGTTCACTATGAGGAATAACCACACTGAAACATGTTTATGTCTCTGCAAGTTGAATTTCATACTAAATCAATGGAAATGAATGGCTGTCTGAATAGAAGGGTAACAATGAAAAATGTGATAAAATAATATATCTATATCTGATATATATAAACTATATATTAATATCTCCATCAATATAATATAAATAATATGAACATATGAAAATGTAAAGTATTGTATCAAGGTTAAATCTATACTTCTCTGTTTTTACTAGAGATAGACCACATATTTATATATATCCAACAGTATTGTCACTCTCGTGTCTCTGTATCACCCATCAGATGCACGGCTTTCCCCCGGTGTCCCGGACACCCCCAGCAGACTGGTGTTTTCTGCTCTGGGTCCTACTGCCCTCAAAGTCAGCTGGCAGGAGCCCCACTGTGAGAAAGACATCCTGGGCTACTGCGTCCTCTACCAGCTGCTCAATGGAGGTAAACAAACCCTGCGCGGAGCTTCACTGTAATCTTTTTTCAGTAATTGTTGTATTGTATTATTGCTGATGCTAACAATCTGTGTCCTCTCCCGTAGGGGACATGAAGCGTATTAATGTGACGAACCCAGCGGAGAACTCAGTGATCATCCAGGACCTGCTGCCCAACCATTCCTACCTGTTCAAGGTGAAGGCTCAGAGCCAGGAGGGCTGGGGTCCAGAGAGAGAGGGAGTCATCACCATCGAGTCCGCTGTGGATCCCAAGAGTCCCCTCAGCCCCATGCCAGGTACGGATTCTGTTCATTGTGGTGTCACAACTTCTTGGATTAACCCACAGACACAATGACTTTGTTTTTGTGCAGCCACCAGAGGTGCAATGTCTCTCTTCTCTTCTTTCCCTGAAGGCTCGCCATTTACTCTGAGCACTCCCAGTGCCCCGGGGCCCCTGGTCTTCACTGCCCTGAGTCCTGACTCACTGCAGCTCAGCTGGGAGAAACCTCGTAAACCCAACGGAGACATCCTGGGCTATGTAGTCACCTGCGAACAGCTGCATGGTGGAGGTAAGGCTTTTAAAAACTATATTTATATTTTGGTTTGTTTCTAGCTTCCCATAAGCCTGTTAGTAATGAGTGGAAGTATTGTCTGACCTCTGTTTCTTTGTTTCCTCCAGGAGACGTGCGTTCCTTCCAGGTGAACGGCGACAGTGCTGAGACAAGTCTTACCGTCCCGAACCTGACTGAGAACGTTCCCTACAAGTTCAAAGTTCAGGCTCGAACCACACAGGGCTTCGGCCCCGAGAGGGAGGGCATCATCACCATCGAGTCTCAGGACGGAAGTAAGACAAATACTACTGACAAAGCTTTTGATATGAACGAAACTCAAAACTCCCAACAGAGGCTGTTTAAAATCTTGTGTAAAAAAAAGTGACAATTAGTCCATTGACATCTGTATTTCTCTCCTTCCTCGCCCCCTGTAGGTGCTTTGTCTCAGTACAACAGCCAATCATTGTCAAGGAGGGAGGTTTTCCACATGCCGACAGAGGTCAGCACACGGACCAACGTCTCCCACACGATGCTCAACGACCCCTACTTCTCAGGTACAAATTCAACTTCAGTCTTACTTTTGTGTCCTGAAAACACAGATCAAATGTCTTCACACATTAACACCATCTGCTCTCCTCTAACAGACGGGATGATGATGACAACACAGCACACAGAGAGCAGCGGCATGGTGACCCGTCAAATTACCAAGGAAGTGGTTCAGCGGAGCGTCATGGGAGGAACCACTGTCACAAAGAAGATGTTTTATGAATCTTAAGATTTAATTACACCACGAATTAACACCCAGAGGTCCAACATGACGAGGAATCGTATCCGAGCTCCTCTTTTAAAAAGAGTCGGCACACACACGATCAGTGCATGTTTTTATACCTGTGTGTGGGTGTGAGATTCTACAACCAAACACGGTCTTATGTAATAAATAGATGGAGAGGAGGCCGCTCTGTCCTGCCTGTTACAAACTGTGGTCACTTTCCTCCGCAGATGAGGTTCATTTTAACATTTACATTCATTTTCACTGTTGCTACTGATGCATTTCACTCCACTTCCTTCCCACTAAGCAAATCATGGAGCGCTAGACTCCACTCCCTCTGTCGGTGCAGATCTGGTAAGACTCACTGGGGCTTTAAATCGGGCCAGCACGGGCCAGTAATCTGACCGCGATTCAGTAATCCAAAGTGACCTTTTCCCCTTGTCTCCTGTCCTCCACCTGACTGTAAGAGACAGTGTGTGTGTGTGTGTGAGGTGCTTTGACTGTTTCAGGTTTAACCACACCAAATTTCCATTCTCTTTCTGTTTGAGATGTTTTGAGGAGAAGTAGACTTGAAATTGCTGTGGATGTTTTATATGGTTCATCATTTTCACAAGTGGTCTTATCCTGAGTGATCAAGAATATAAAAGTGGTGTATTTGTTAATAGATTTGTATTATATTAAAGTGTGATAAAGTATTTTCAAAGCATATTTAATACTTTTAAAGATTTTTACTTAAGCAGACTGACATTAAATTTAATGCCAAATATAAAAGTATTTCCATAAAAACTTGCTCATTTATAAGGGCATTTCCTACTGACAAGCAAAGGGGGCGTGATTTTACAATGCAGACATGATCAAAAATCTATGATACGCAACATAAATGTGGTATACACTGCTTCAAGTTGATACTTTCCATACGTTTCCTTACTCTGCAAGGTTTGTATTGTGCATTTTCAGTAGATTGATATTGGAACGTTGAGGTCTTAATATTTGAGAGAAATGGTGTGTAAAGACGGAACGATTGTATTTGCTTCAATGCAAGTCCTACTGTATTTCAGCTCCTTGTTTTGTTGCTTTTGTAAAACATTTTTATTTTTATCAGAAAAACCGGATGTGGATAAGTGGACGACCTTTTCACCAAAAACACTCTCACTTAAGAATACATGTACTTTTGATTATTTGATGTATGCTTAATTAGTTTCTTTTTTGGTATGTCAATTCTGTTGCACTTAATAAAGATTTGAAATAAATTTGTATTGCATTTGATTTTTTTTCTCTAGATCTGCATGTGTGACCACTGAAGACAACATGGAGCATTTACAGTTGATTTATTGATGTTTGGGGGGAAAAAAGCATAGATATCTTAATATTGCACACATAAACAAAAACACAGCTGCAGAAACAAGCCCATGCCTGACGAATGTTTGCAGGAAGCTTGAGACAAAAGCAAACAGAGTGAGAATTACCTCTTCACATGCATCAAACCCAGTCTGTAATTATCTGCCTGTGCGTGTTGGCGAGCTCCCATCAGCTGCACTCTGAGCATCTAGTCGCACATCCTTTCACACACAGTGCCGTTCATGCTTGTTCTTATTTTTTCATCTCTAAGTAACAAAAAAAAAAGTCACCAAAAATACATTTCCATAGTGCTGCTGTGGCATGAACACCTTGCAACTTTTTATGTTTTAACTAAAACGTGTGGCTCTTTGTGGGCTTTGTTGGACTTCTAAACCGTCCCAAACCTTATTGGACCGTGTGCAAAAACATTAACATTCAGCTAAAAACAAGGCTGTTTTTTGAGGTTTGGACCAGCCTTAAAATATTCATCTTTACCATAGAAATAGTCAAACACTGTACATCTCCATGAAGGCAGAGTAACACAAAGTATAATGCAGAATGATGGTGGTTCTTGTTCACGACCTCACGAGGCAACCCGCAGAGAGAGTCAGACTTTTTAAAACCAGAAACGACACACAAGATTCAAATTCACAACCAGAGTAAAAGCACAGACTCTGTGGGTTGCTGAGGAGCAGGACTGAGGAGTGACTGATGTGTGTTAAGCAGTTCAGGTCCAGAGGCAGGGCCCGGGGCAGAGGCACTGCTGTCTGACATCTGCAGGCCTTATCACCAGGTCTTTGACCACCTCCACAGTCCCAAACACGGGGTACAGTTCCTCTGTGAACTTCTCGCTGTAGGTGTACAGGTGGGAGCGCTTCTCCACGTCGTAGAAGGACACCTGGCCCTGCTCATAGTCCAGGTACACCCCGACTTTCCTGGGCACTAAGCTCGGTGACAGCGGGGTGGCGGGCACCGTCAAGGCTTTCAGATCTGCCCCCCTCTCCAGGCGGAGGGTCAGATAGCCCGTATCTGTGTTGAGTGTGCGGAAGCCCTGCCTAACCGCGGACGCCTTGGCCACACCAAGCCGCCAGTCCCGCTCACCCACCTCCACCTCCCAGTAGTGCCGTCCGCTGGCGTAGCCCTCCTGGCCCACGGCACACCACCAGCCGTCGAAGCGCTGCTGGCACCGCGGGACCTCCCGGCGCTCCAGGCCGCAGCGCATGTGCTTTTCATCGCTGGAGATTAACAGGCCTGGGTGGGCTGAGTCTGAGTCCAGAGTCACTTCCTCTGTGGAGTTACAGAGCAGGAAGATTACACACTGTAAAGATCTGATAACGGACTAATGAGGGACACAGATGATCTGATTAGTGTTCATACCTGCAGCATCGCAAATCCAGTTCCACACTGGAAAGAAGAAGAAGAGACTCTTTAAAGCTGCTACATTCAATATTTTTATATCATCAATAGATCAAGAGACTATGTGGAATGTGAAAGGAGTCGCTTGTTGTCATCCGACTGTTTATCAGATCTGTTTCTTTTAAAACCCACCGTACACTACCTGCTCAGCAGCTACACAAAGTTAGCAACTAGCTGGTGAAGACAGTGATCACTTAGCAGCTAAAGAGACAGATATTCTCTCTAGTTGGTGGAGACTGGAGAGAGGGAATATTGGACTATAGTCTTCATCATCAACACAATAAAATGGCTCCAAAGGAATGCTAATGTTGCTCTGTGTCTGCTGGATGCGTTAACAGGCAACTTTCTATGGTGCTGAGCTTGTGTTCACAGCTTGTTCCTGTTGCCCCCAAGTGGCAAAAAAAACCCTCAGTGAACGCAGGTTTAAACATCTAAAACTGACACCAGAAATAATTTGGTAATCAACAGAAAATTCTAAGTTATTTATCAAACACTAATATAAAACATGAAGTGATTTCAACTTCTCAACTGTAATAAGATTTGCTGCTTTTGTCCGTTGTATTTGCTATGACTGATCTGCATATATAAAAACATAAAGATATATGTGTTTGAATGTGAATATATTTGGATTTTGGACTGTTGGTCAGACAAATAAGCAATCTGAACACTTTTTTCACTAGGTTCTGACATTTTACAGACTCAAGTATTGATCGATTAACATCATGGTTAATAGAAATAAATAAGTGACAGCAGGGCTGAACAATAAACTGCATTTATCACATTATGGTTCTCCTAGCCCTGACACACTAAATTTACTATTTCAGAATCACACATGATTGAACTGTAAATAGCTACAATAATGTATCACAATAATGTCTGATGTCGAGCCACCCAGCTCTGTCCCTTAAGTCCAGAATAATTAACTAGTCATACTATTAATAATCAGAACAAACAGCAGAAGTGAGCCAACACAAGTAAGAAAATAGAGTGCACTGGTGTATTTACACAAGAATATTATTATGTTCATCATTTTAAAGATAAAGGTGACAACATATTGTGACGTACAGTACATTGTAGATGATATCACCCAGGCCCAGTGAGCAGATGAATCAATAATGACAATAACTGTGATTTGATTTCAGGGTAAGTCAGGATTTCTACTCACCACTGTGGGGGATGTAGCGGACAGCGTCTGAAAGGAGAGAGTGAGTCCTGTGATTACAACGGAGACAATCAAGAGTTCCATTCATGGCCCAAATCCTTCCACATGCTGCTTTCCCCACCTGCTATCCTTTAATCACACATCCAACCTGATTAATGAAAGTGACTCATCATGTTTCACTCCATCGAGTCCACAGTGCTACTGTATGCCCACACGCTCTTATAATCAATAGCAATTCACACATTATGGAGGGCTGCTCAGCTTCTTCAATGCTGATTAACTTCTTTCTAATTTGATTTTTTTCGTTCATTTTTCTTTATCTTTAACACTTCTAAATGAACGACTCACCTATCTTTTGACTCCTCTGCTTTCTCACCAGCCATTGCTTTGTGACGTCCTCCTAAACGCACACACACACACACACACACACACACAAAGACAGACAGTGGACACATAAAGACAAAGCAGACCAAGGTGAGTTTCACAGTGTGATAAAGAGATTAGCCTGACCATACACCCAATGCTCCACACTGTTTACACTATTGATGAATGCTTATTCATAAAATGAATTAGCATGCTGCTTATCCAATCACTGGTGAAACAGTTCTGCTTTTGTCCTGGACCCAGACGAATATTCAACACAATCTAATCAGGCACAATGTTGTGACAGACCTTGACGGGGCTGTCTGCATTCAGCACGACCAGCATGACGAGCTCCATGGCGGGGAGCAGGTTGGGGAGACGCCCCCTCTTCCACTGGAACTCCAGGTCGTCTAGCATCATGAGCACGGGCTCACCAGGCCAGACGGTGGGCTGGAATGAAGGAGACAATGAGCGTGAGTCGCTGTCACTCACTGGAGTGTTTAACATGCAATCATGGCCCCAGCACACTCTTGAGTATGATGGGATGATCGTCAAGGGCAGGGTATTAGCTTAATCATCTTTATCAGATGCGAGGAGGAACTGGGTCAGACGACTTTAACCACCGAGCAGCCGCCAGAAGAAAAAGCTGGCACACATCATCCTCCAGCGTCCACCATGCTATACCTGAGGTCTGCTTTTGATCTCCCGTGTCCAGTCCATGATGACTCTTTTGTGGGGCCCCATGTCGCACTCCCCGCCTGCCTCCAGCATGCACAGGAGGTGTCCCTTCCAGTCTTTCTTGTCTGGTTTCTCGCACTGGTAGTCAGACAGGATGATCCTCGGCTGAACAAGAAACACATTAAAATTAATTGGCAACTATTTTGATGATCAATTCAGGGGCTTTATGGTGCAAAAATTTTAAAATCGTGCTGTCTTCAGCCTCTCAAATGTATAATATATTATATTAAACTGAAAATCTTTGGGTTTTGGGCTGTTGGTCGGACCAAACGAGACACTAGAAGACATTTTCACTAATAGTCTGACATTTATATACTAAAAAGCAGATGACTCAGCAATGAAAATAATCATAAGTTGCAGCATTAAAGCAAAAGCACAACATTCAGAGAGAAGGTTATTGGTTACATAAACATCTCTAACAGTAGATCGCACGTACCTGCACTCTCTTCTCCAACACAGCGGCCCATTCCACGATGAAATCCCGACACACACTGGCCGGCCAGACGTCCTCACTGGTCCAGATGTGGCCGAGGATATTTGACCTCTGGGGTGAAGATATAAACAGTATTTATGATGCAGATGGCTGCGTGCAGTTTGTGACAGAGAGAAAGAGTAGAGGAGGAGTGCTTACCTGGCATATTTTGTTGAGTTCTCGAGCCAGTTCCATAATAAATAACTGACTCTCCAACAGCGGCTCCTTCTTCTCAAGTTTAACTCGCTTGCGAGACTCCTGGAGCGAAGACACAGGAGATCAAAAGGGGAAAAAATATGACGTAATGTACATTTAAGAGCAAGGTTTACGAGTTTAGCATCTGCAGCAAATATTGTGCTATCAGAGGAGAACAGAGTCGTACCTTGAGCCGGATTTTGAGCTTCTTGGCCGGCTCGATAAGGAACTGCAGGCAGTCCTTCATCATGCTGGCGGCTGGAGAGAGTGAGGCAGATGCCCTGTGGTACAATAATAAAAAGCTTTAGTACACTGGCACTCACTCTTTCAAGAGCTGGAGCTGAAGTGCAGCTGACTGGGCTCCCGTCGCTCACACACGAATCGATGAGAGAGCAGAAATCGGTAATTTATGAGAGGTGGCAAAAGGTGTGTGTGTGTGTGTGTGTGGAGAGCGAGAGAGAGAAAAGCACTGCAGAACTTTCATCACATCTCTGCACTGCGAGTCCACAGAGAGCTCATTATTAGGCACTCTGAGCTATCATTAGGTGAGGAGGAGGAGAGATAAGAGGACCCACACATTGGTGGAAGAGTGGAAAGAGACAGCCCACCCACTCAACACACCCTCACGCAAAGCTACAAAAGTGAGCAGGCAGAGAGAGAAACAGTGTGGAAACAGGCAAAAAATATTGCACAGTAACAGGATTTCCTGACTCGTGTGGGTCGATGCCTCTTGATCATGGCCTTGAAAATTGGAAATTTATTCCCAAGGAGATCTGAGACAGCAGCGCAGAGCCTTTTTTAAAACACTGCGGAGGGTGCGGGGGATCGTTGGACCAGTTTGCTGTTGATTCAGCAGTCCGCCCCTGCACGCCAGTCTGATGCGCCGAGGGGATTTGCTGTTCTTTCTGTGATGTAGGGGTGGCAGCTGAGCCAAAGGATGCTGGTACAGGGTGTTTGAGGACTTTGGCAAAGGAAAATACATCCAACTGAGGGGCAAACAGTCAGGACTGAAAGTTTACCTTTTAAGTGAATGCTTTTCTAAAACAGAACTCCATGATGATGTGAAACCAACTGGAAATGGTGGTGAACATGGTCACATAATTGAATAAGCCAGAAAGAGTCATGTGTCAGTACAAATGGTCCACGTTAACTTTGGCACGTGCTGGGGAGGATATACAGTTGTGTCACTTAGCCTGTTAACTCATTAAGTAGATACAGTATTGCTCAATTTGAAATACATTTCAGAGTAAATAAAGGAGGGAGACATAGTATTTATATAGTATACTTCTCTATCAAACTGTGGAGAGAAGTATTTACATATTCACTCCTGGCTAGGTGGAGGGTTTATTTTTGGCCGTGAAGGCAGAGGGTGTAGGTGGCAGAGGAGCTGTGTGTGTGGTGGAGAAGAGCTGGAAGATTAGAGGAAATCCAGGATTATCACCGGTGCCATTGCTGCAAAAACACAGGTACTGACTTTCTATATTGGGACTGACGGACCAACCTCTGCCTGGCAGCACCAAAACACACACAAACACACCATAATACACCGCACAACAACCCGCACATAATGGGAAATAGACGGTTTAATACTAACTGAAAGAACAATAATAAATCTCTTTATACTTTTGAGGTTCTTCTCTGCCTGCCGTCGTCAAAATGCATTATTTTCAGATTTGAATGCTTCGAATAAAGATGAACAAATAAACTGCCCTTGTGCGCGCGAGGTTGTGTGGCAGACAAATTATTTTTATTTAATCACGCCCTTAGGATCGGCAGTTCGACCGGTTTTCTCTATTAAAATTGACGCTCTGTGGGGAAAAATGAAAGTCTGACCTTGTTATGGGAGAATTTTCCTTTCCGCGGGTAACTTTGCGCTGCTCCTCTGTGATGTTTTCGGCAAACTCGGACTCATTTAGCACTCCGCCGCCATCCCTCAGAGATGCACCGCTTCATCCACTCTTCAACTGCGGCACGAGAGGCAGAGCGCGCGCTCTAATCTGCGCCCGCCTCCACTGAGCTGCAGTTTGAGAGAAGAGCCGCGCGAGGTCGCCATTGCTCCACTGAGACTGAGGAGGAGACTGACTTCTCTCTCAGGTAGTCTTGCACTGTCTTATAAATTGCTTTTGGTTTATCTTATTGAACTAAACAGCGTTACAAGCCCATAGTAAGCGGCTTTAAAGCGCTGTTAGACTGTCTGTATTCAATATCTATCCAGTGCTAACTGTCTCATGATATCTTCCCACTATCGGTGCCAGAAAAGTGTCAGACCTGATTTGTTCAATCTTGATGCCTGAAGAAGAAATCTGTGCAGTTGTGTCACATTAACTTGTTAGAATCACTTTTTGCTCATTCTCCTGTGCCAGGTCTGGGGTTGTCTCATTCCTCTGTTGCCACAGCAGTCCCTGTGGGTTACCTCACCTCTTGATTCGGCAGCAGATTTAGAGGAGTTGGATACACCAGATGATAGCTTGTTAAGAGGTTGTCTTAAAAACTTGCCAAATTGGACAAAGAGGAGGGACTAAGATGCGAGGAGGTGAGAATGTACAAACTGGGAAATGAAAAAGGCCTCATGTATCTCTCTCGGCCTGGCCTACAGCACAGACCCTCAGCCCTCTTCTTTTTTTTTGGTTCACTGCACCATACAACACACATTGCACCACATTTCACTCAACCACACAACTCTAACATTATGGATGTGACTGATATCTTTACACATCTCGCCATTTAGTACAGTATTTAAAACAGGTACGCAGAATGCAAAATGTAGGGCTTAATTCAACATTGGTTCACACTTGTATCAATTAGCAAGTCAATTTAGAAGAAAATGTTGTTTAGAACAATAATGTGGAATGGCCCCTAAGGATTACACTAGAGTGTGCTAAAGGGCCAGTTTGAGTAAAACAGTTCTTTAGAGTGTGAAGAATGAGAAACTTATCCAACAACATACAGTCAAGGCCAGAATTATTCATACCACTGGCAAATTTTGACTTAAAATTACTTTTTAGTTTTTCTTCTTGATTGGAAATGACACAGGCTTCTCCCAAAAGACAACAAGATGTACAAGAGGCATCACTGTGGAAAAAATTATTTCTCAGCTTTTATTTACATTTGAACAAAAAGTGGCATGTCAAATTATTCATACCCTTCTCAATAATCAATAGAAAAGTCTTTATTGGCTATTACAGCAATTAAACACTCCCTATAATTGCTGACCAGCTTTTTGCATGTCTCCACTGGTATTTTTGCCCGTTCATCTTTAGCGATGAGCTCCAACTCTTTCAGGTTGGAGGGTCTCCTTGCCATCACCCTGATCTTTAGCTCTCTCCACAGATTCTCAATTGGGTTCAAGTCAGGACTCTGGCTGGGCCACTGCAAAACGTTTCCATTTCTTCACCACTTTTGCTGTGTGTTTTGGGTCGTTGTCGTGCTGAAATGTCCACTGGTGACCAAGGCCAAGTTTCTCTGCAGACTGCCTGATGTTGTTGTTGAGAATCTTGATGTATTGCTCTTTTTTCATGGTGCCGTTTACTGTGATTAGGTTCCCTGGTCCATTGGCTGAAAAACACCCCCAACGCATTAGGTTCCCACCACCATGTTTGACAGTGGGGATGGCTTTCTTAGGGTTGAAGGCCTCTCCTTTTTTACACCAAATGAAGGCTACATCATTGTGGCCAAACAATTCCATTTTTGTTGTGAGCAGCCACAATGTGCAGCCGCAGGTCCTCAGTGAGCTCCTTTGTCTTAGCCATGACTGTCCACAAACCAAGTGCAGAGAGCTTCTGTTTTTCACCTGTTGAGTTGATTAAAACAGCTGTTCCTCTATCTATACTCAGCATCTTTTAAAACATTAAAGAAAAGTACTACTAATCCTTTTGTAAAAAAAACCACTATTGTTGTTTGGCATGAAGTACAAAACTCGTGGATGACTCTTCAGATTTGTCCTGTTTCTCCTCAATCTGGGGCAATGAGCACTTCGCCCCGGCTAAGAACGACATGGGTTTTAAAGCATGGTGGAACAAGGGCATAGTGAAACTACAGGATGAGGATTATACTCTAATGTCATTCAATGAGTTAAAGGCAAAGTTTTATATACCGCAGAAACACTTCTTTAAGTATTTACAACTTTTCAAACAGTTCAGTGCAACAACCCTCATTCTCCGTCTTAGAAACACATGTTACAAAAAACGGTTTTGGTAAAAGACTGGTCTCCCAGTTTTATAACATGTTTGTTGAAAACCATAAGGAAAACTCTGATAGCAAAAGACAGGAGTGGATACGTGACTTACAAGAAGATATTTCACTTATTGATTGGATTACTGAACACACACTTAAACCATTAACACTCGATTGAGAATGATACAATTTAATTGGACAATGCGGATATACATCTCCCCTGTACAATTAAATAAATTTGATCCTAATATACTTGATCTATGTTATAAATGTAATAGTCACCAGGGTACATTATATCACTGCTTATGGAAATTTTGGAGCTCAGTGTTATATATCTCTCAGATCACAACTTCCCCTGTACCTTTTTGCCCTAAGTTATGTATTTTAGGCATTTATCCAGATGACTGTAGTTTATCTTGTAAGGAAAGAAAAATGGTTGACCTTTGTTTACTACAGGCCAAACGCTGTATAGCATTATGTTGGAAGAATGTTGGGTGCCCGTCTTTTAACCACTGATTAAATAACTTAACATCGAGTTAAGTAAAAGTTCTGAATGTTACAACATTGGGAAGATATTTCTGGAACTGTTAAGGGTTGGAGATATGGAGGAGGCAGTGGGAGAATAAGATGATGAAAAATGTCTGATTTGTTGTTGGGAATGTACGCTGTAACCTACATCAAGATTTTTTTTGCTATCTATATTTATTCATTTATTTTGGTCCTTTCAGTATTATTTTAATTATTATTTTCACTACCGTCATATGTTCATGATGTTTTAAGTGTTGGATGTTGTTGTACTAAAACAAAAAACCAATAAAAATGTTTAACAAAAAACAGCTGTTCCCAATGAATCAGGGTAATTCGGATGCTTTAGAACAGCTTGGACTATTTGGAATGGTATAGAACTTTGGATTTTCCCATAGACTGACAATTTGCCAAGGGTATGAATAATTGGACATGCCACTTTTTTGTTCAAATGTAAATCAAAGCTGAGAAATATTTTTTTCCACAATGATGCCTCTTGTACGTCGTCTTATCTTTTGGGAGAAGCCTGTGTCATTTCCAATCAAGAAAAAAACAAAAAAACTTGCTGGTTGAATAAAAGTAACTAAGTCAAAGTTTGCCAGGGTATGAATAATTTCAGCCTTGACTGTACATTAAAGTAACAATGTAACATTGAAGACTAGTTCCCAAGCGATAACATGTAGGCTCTGGAGGAATGTGGCCAATCAGAGACAAGGATTGTAGAGGATCTATGTCACAGCAATCAGAGGAGAATGTAGTACCAAACTCCCTCTGAACATGCCTCAGAAGAGTGTTCACTGTAGTTTCTGTTCTGTAGTCATTTATAACAGGGTCCATTTTTAACCAACTTACGAGACCTCTGTAGCACTCCTGCATTTAAACAATATGAAGTTGTAATTTAATAACTAAGTTTACAAGTATAAGTGAAGTTTTACTTTTATCTTTCGTTCAGTCTCATAATGGACAGGTTTGTTTGTTTTTTAAAACTTAATTGATAGACCTACATTACCCACAATGTAACTCAACTGTTCTCAGTTTAGAGATTTGACTGTTATGCTAGTAGTCTTCAGAAGAATGCTCATCTAGTTTAAATTACAGCATGTTCAAAATCTCCATAAAACATGGACAGCACATATAATCTGCAACAAAGAAAAAAGGGAAAAAAAAAAAAGTATCATCCCTGGATTTGCAAGAGACAGTAAATATTTGTCCTTTAACCCATTTACAAAGCTAATCTCTGGGGGAAGGAGACAAATCAGTTAATCAAGGGTTTTATTTGAAGCAGAGAGATTAAACCGGTACATGTAGAATGCAAAATTAACAATTGCATGGTTCTTCAAATGTAAATCTCTACTTAAAACAGTTCCAAACAACCTGCTTGCTTTAACCACAGCTGCTGTAGCACCTACAGGTGCCCTCTGCGTAGCTTCTTGAACAGCTGTATTAAAGTTTCTAGGTTGTCGTTAGCTGCAGTGTTGCGTGAAGCCCAATCAGCAAGGAGCTTTGGGTCGCTCGCCGTCAGGTGGTCGCCGTGCACGTGCACGTGGTCGCCCGCCGTCAGGTTGTCGCCGTGCACGTGGTCGCCCGCCGTCAGGTTGTAGCCCGCCGTCAGGTTGTCGCCCCCTGTGCCACGTGCACATGGTCGCTCGCCGTCAGGTTGTCGCCCTGCACGTGCACATGGTCGCCCGCCGTCAGGTTGTCGCCCGCCGTCAGGTTGTCGCCCTGCACGTGCACATGGTCGCCCGCCGTCAGGTTGTCGCTCGCCGTCAGGTTGTCGCCCAGCACGTGCACGTGGTCGCCCGCCGTCAGGTTGTCGCCCTGCACGTGCACGTGGTCGCCCGCCGTCAGGTTGTCGCCCGCCGTCAGGTTGTCGCCCTGCACGTGCACATGGTCGCCCGCCGTCAGGTTGTCGCCCTGCACGTGCACATGGTCGCCCGCCGTCAGGTTGTCGCCCTGCACGTGCACATGGTCGCCCGCCGTCAGGTTGTCGCTCGCCGTCAGGTTGTCGCTCGCCGTCAGGTTGTCGCCCTGCACGTGCACGCCCGCCGTCAGGTTGTCGCTCGCCGTCAGGTTGTAGCCCTGCACGTGCACGTGGTCGCCCGCCGTCAGGTTGTCGCTCGCCGTCAGGTTGTCGCCCTGCACGTGCACATGGTCGCCCGCCGTCAGGTTGTCGCCCTGCACGTGCACATGGTCGCCCCCGTCAGGTTGTCGCCGCCGTCAGGTTGTCGCCCTGCACGTGCACATGGTCGCCCGCCGTCAGGTTGTCGCCCTGCACGTGCACATGGTCGCCCGCCGTCAGGTTGTCGCTCGCCGTCAGGTTGTCGCCCTGCACGTGCACATGGTCGCCCGCCGTCAGGTTGTCGCTGTTCACATGGTCGCCAGCTCTGCGTTGATGGTCATTTTTCTCATTTCTGAGTCCTTGAGGTCTATTAAGGGCCTTCTGTGCATGTTTCATGTGTTCAGCTGATGCATCAACTTCATTGGTTTCCAGTTGTACTGAAACAGACAGTTGATTAATGAACTACTGACAAGTAAAACTGACTCATGGTCTCCAGACACGCTGCTGTGAGAATTCACTCGACATTTTAAACAACGGCATTAACAGACTTGAGATTTGCCCCAAAAGACTCAGCTCAGTCCAATGCAGTCATTTTATTGCTACATGACAAAACAATAATTGAGTTCTTACTTCATCCATGATGTCAAAAGGTATATTATAGTTGTATCCGATTTTAAGTAGCCAACAGCTGTAATTAAAGTGAGGCCAGTAGTATTTTATAGAATATCCTCACCTTCCTTAGCCTCTGGCATGGACTTATCTGTAGAACAGAGAAAATTGATGTAAAGTTAGTGCCAGAAAGTAGCTCTGAAGAGTTCTGTCACAAATGTTCTTACCGTTCATTCCCATCTGCATCCCTTGACCACATGGTTTCCCACCAGCACCCATAGAAGAACCTATGGATGATGCACTTGTGGTTAATAGTTGTGCGGTGTGATGGCACAACATATCACAGACTCATTATAGCTAAGTTACAGTTTCAGAAATTATGCCAAAGCATACTCTAGTAGCCAAACCATTTTGGCTGAAGACATGTTGCCACTCTTACATTGCTATACTCCAACAAGTCAAACACAAGCTTGAAACAGTAGGTAGAAGTACACAAACCTTTGGCAAGCCAAACAGTCAAGACAACAATAAGCGAGGCCTGCACAGCAGCCATTTCAGTCAGTCAGCAAGAGAAAATGCTACCAGCTGTGCTACATGTCAGGTTTTAAGTCTTGCAGGTGCCACAGCTGTTTCTGATCAGCTCTAATTGTCTCTCTCTTTAGAGGAGTCAGTACCAGTTGTGACTCTGTCACTTCCAGTGACAAGCATGTGAAACAATTTTTCAGATTAAAACTTTGAGAATGTTGTATTTATCTATTTAACAGCCTTGATCTGCTCAGGTTGAAGGAGTTTCTGCTTGTAATGCTGGGATTTATGTGAACCGACCTGCATGTACTTATTAGCAGTTGCAGTGACATCTGGTGGTTTAAAAAATGGATAGCAGCCATTTAAGACTGGGGCCAAAGCACTACAACACCTCACTGTTCACAGTTTCCCTCTCATTTGTGTGCTACACAAGTCCAAGTTGTTTATCTTGCTCATTAGTACTGCAATAAAGAAACATTTTGTAAATAAATATTGTGCAATGAGGCAGTGAAATGACTAATAAATACGCTGTCCAAAAAGCCTACATATAATATTTTGTTGATACTAAATATGAATGTACCTTATTGGTGTGCTGCAGGCCCAGTGCACACTGTGGACCCACATATTGCTTCATCTAGTGTTACAAAATTAACATGTATAAGAAAGAGTAAAGGTGAAGCAGTAATACTGTTATCTTTCTGGTTTTATATAGAATATTCATACTGGTTTAAATTAACAATTTGGTAGTATTTCCCATCTTTGCTAAGCAAGACTTTCTACTAGTAGCAGCTAATGTAGCCTCAAGCAGAGATGAAGAGTGGGCTACAGAGCTCTGGTAAACTGACTTCTTTCTAACTTCACAGCCAAAGTTTTTTTACATTTTCGAACTTGTAGTCTTAAGCCCCAACCAACGCTGACTTGAGCAACATCACTTGAGGACGTGTATCAGATTTCATGCAGCTCCCTCTGGAGCTACTAAAGACTTTATTATATTTTTTATGCCAAAATTTTACTTTTTACAGAAGTCCACTTGTAGTTGACGTGAAACCCCTCCCGGTCTGCTTGTCTGCCTGTTTACCTTGCTCTGCTGTCTGCTTTACAGATATTTGGGTTGGTTGGTAGGTGGAGCTTGGAGGGTCACTTGCCTTACCTGCCCATGTGGGTGTGGCTCTCAGAAAGTTATAGAAGACTGTCCTTCTGAGAATCTCAGTCTTGCTCATCCTGGCCTACGGCACACCCTCAGCCCAACACACATTGCACCACATTTCACTCAACCACACACCTGTAACAATACTAATGTGACTAATATGACATGTCACAATTTAGTTCATATGTTTGGATTTTGAGTTAAATAAGTTACTTGTTTGACTGATACACCTGTGTGTGGCCTCCCTTTTGCTTGTACGCCGGGTATGTAACAAATGGGGGCTCGTCCACCCAAAGCGAGAATCATACCCTTAGACCAGGTGATGTGGCCGTGGGTTTGTGACCTTCTTATGTGGGGAGTACATGTCATCTTAGGAAATTACCTGGCTGGCAATCAAGTGTGGCCAGACAATCCTACACTGGTGGACACTCCAACTTCCCAGGTAGAAAGTTAGTCTGTGGTACTTTCCACCGCTGCAGTGCCAAAGGGTATTTTTGTCCTGATAAGCCAAACCACAAGAGAGAGTCTGTATTTCCTGTTCCTGCTTTTCCCTTACCTACCTCTTGCAATGACCTTGCCAGAGAGTAGAGAGTGACCCCACACTTCAGGCTCTGTACAGTCAAGTTCTTCCAGATGATGAGGTAGAGAGTGTTGCCCATGGATATTTTCTCCAAAATCGCCTATTGGTGAGAAAATGGGTTCCCCAGGGGGACAGTGTTGTAGGATGAGATTGTGCAAATAATTCTGCCCTCTACAATAAGACTCACTGTACTTCAGACTGCTCATGACAGCATTGCAGGTCATTTAGGTGTAAGGTGTAAAACCTACGATAGAGTCATACAACATTTTTACTAGCCTTGTTTGAAAAGAGACATCTCTGACTTCATTAAAACGTGCCACACATGTCAGTTGACTGGAAAACCTTACCAGGTAAACCAAATTGAAAGCTCTGACACAGTTTATGTCATTTTCAGTTTCCCAAAGATTATTCAGTCTGATCAGGGATCTAACTTCTGCTGTTGAAGTGTTAAGTGTTAAAGCAGGCAAACATTAAACATTCTCAGTCCAGTGCGTACCATTCTCAGAGCCACAGAGCTATGGAAAGGTTTCATCAAACTCCATCAAAGTCCCTTCTCTGTGCATACTGCACTGAGTCAGACCGTGACTGAGAGGAAGGGTTATCGTGGCTGATGTTAGCTGGCAGCGAAGTCTCCCAAGAGATTTTGGCTTTAGTCCTAATTACTTGGTTTTTGGTCACACAGTTCCAGGCCCTTTAGCTTCCCTGCAGACATGAAGAAGCCAAAGAGGCCCCAGTATGCAGCTGAAACATATCTTTATGATCGGCAAGGAGAACGATGTGAATTTTGCTCCGGTGATCAAGGTGTGGCACCTGTTCAGGCCACGTTCCCAGTAGTAACGTTAAGTGGGTTAGGTAACTAAAACTATATGAATGGGGTCATGTTTTATCATATATCATTATTTTACATTAGCTGTTAAGATTTAGTGGTGTTTAACTAAATTTTTAGATGAAACCAACTCTTAACAAACCCTTACAACAACCCTTGGGTTATTTTAAACATGAAATATTTATTTGCAGCATAGCATAACTGTGTTTTAGCTATTTCAGCTACGTTAGCTAAAATATTTGACAATAAACGCGCGAATTTTGGAAATAAGGCTAGTCCCTATAGCCTGGACTGAGTCTTTGAAAGGCAACACGGCCGTTTCTATGTTTAGAAATGGAACAGCAGATGTCACTACAGATAATAAACACTTCATATCTCGATTTTCTTCCCCCATATTCGCGATGGGTGTAAAATCATTTTATCCATAGCATTGTTTCATCCAGCTGTCCCCCTCTCTGTCTGTCTGTCTCTCTGTCTGTCTGTCCAGGGCAGGTACTGTGGAATGGGAGGGTGTCTCGGTATGTTAGATAGGATACACGGAAGCGTGTGTCGCCGTGCTTAAATGACAGGAGGCTCGGTGCGTCTGTTGTGAACGACAGCCTCAGATCACAGCTGCTCCCTCAACATGGCACCAAAGGACCCTCTGCTCGGCACCCTCAAAGGTAAGGAACCATTAGAAATGCGTGATGCAAATGTGGTTTTCATCCTAATTTCAGCTTCAGAGGCAGCCGATTGCTTCGTCCAGTTTCACGCGCCTTCTGGCCAAAACAAACGGCTGTCTTAATAATTTGAGTTTAATTTCTGTTGCAGACAAAAGCATTATTTTCTCTCTCTAAACAACACCTGCCAGTCCGTTTATCGTCCGCGCTGTCTTATCTGTATCAGTGTTGATGTGTGAAATGGCGATGATTACGCAGGTTGCATTAAAAATGTGTATGTTTTTGGCCACTGTCAAATGCGTGTTTTTCCCCTCCCAGTATGTGTCCTCCACCTGCAGTCAGATGGAGGGATGGTGTCAGACACCAACCCTCACCTCGCCTCCTGCTGTGAGCTTCTGGAGCTGGTCCTCAGGAAGGGGCTCCAACGTCAGTAATAACATAATAATATAATATTTGCTTCCCCTGAAAAAATTTGTGAAAATGCAGGGTTCTTGTACAATGAGAACAAATTGCTGTATTGTAAACTTTTATACCGGGCTTTAACATCTACATATGTTGGGATGTCAGTTTGTACTCCAGTTGAAAGCATTGTTGTGTAAAAAAAACAACAATATTTGGGGACAGAATTTGATTTATTTTGAATATCTTAATACTAAATCATCTGAAGCACATGTGAAATATATATTTTTGCAGTATGGAGTGAGTGTGTTTGCTCTCCCTGCAGAGCCAGTTATCAGTCTGGTACACAGAGACTACTGGCAGTGTTTTGAACAGCTTATCCACCAAGATGCCTGTGGCAGGTAACAACGTCCTGCTTATATCAACTGACAGGAAGTGTAACATAAATGACATTTATAACTGTACACTGTAAAAGAAATGACTATAATAGAAATAGTGCTATTGCTAAAGCCTTGTTATACCTGTTGTGCCTGCTGATGTGTAGGCTGTCTGCCCTGTCCTTGGTGGTGGAGCAGACCAGAGTTTGCAGGAAGCTGCTCTCAGCTCAGGGCCGAGGCCGCTATCTGCTCAGACTGGCCCTCAGCCGCAAGGCTCTGCCACAGTTCATCACACACCTGCTACACACACCCAGAGTCTTGGAGGTCAGATACATGGACCAGAAATATTTTTTTATAATGCCAAATGTTCAGAGCCATTTTCTGGTGCTACCCATATGTGCCTCTTCCTGTAAAACAGCTTCAGCTCATTCTGTTTCTCTCCCTTCCAGTGGTACAGTCCGGCAGCGTCAATCCTCAGGAATGAGGAATTTGTGGGTGAGCCTTTAACTATATCTGATTGTTTCCACTAAAAGCTGAGAAAAGATGAGGAAGTCCTTGTCATCGCGGCCAATCAGTGTCAAACATCAACAACAGTGTTCTCACTCTTCCAGAGCCTTTCATGTCGCTGCTGCTGGTCCTCTCTCACATGGAGTTTAAACTGGACATGGAGGTCAGAGCAACTTCTTTGTATATACAATTTATAAACTGCAAATGTGCTGTCAATCCATTTTCATTATTATTATATATTATAATGGATTTCCCTCCAAAATAGAACCTTGGCTATTCTTTCAAAGCTCTTTGAAATCAAAGGACTCTACAATAATAACCACCTCTGGTTTCTTTACACAGAATTGCAGTTTTCTAGATGAGAGCTGGCTCCTACCGGTAAAAAGTCATGATTACTGTTTAGTAACGTACAGCAATATTATTATGGTTTTAGTGTCCATGGAAATTTAAGATCCCTGGAAATGCATGGGAAAATCTCTGTTAATTGTATATGTTTCCAGGTGTGTGAGATATACGAAGTAGTGCCCTGTCGGGAGGTAGGGATGGTGTTGAGGTTTGTATCTTCCTTTACAAAATACTCAACAGTACTTTAGTAATCAAGTATATTTACTCATAAATGGATCTGCCCAACCTGCATCTCTATCTGTGTCTCAGGTATCTCAGTGGCCGCGTCTTCGTCCTCGACCTGATGCCTGGTAGTCAGGCTCACGTAGACAAGTTCATCTGCCCCGGCGACATTATCGATGAGATCAATGGCACCTCGCTGAGAAATTCCAAGAATGGACAGGTATCCTCAAACATGCAGTGTTCATATTAAAGTAATTACCCGTGACACTCATAGACATTATCTCTTTCTCTGGGTCACCGCAGTGTAGCACGTATAAATGAAACAATTTACTCTGGTGGGTCTTTTTGAGGTCTTTTCACTCTTATTGCCTGATTAGATGTCTTCTCTGAACTGTGTTGATGTGTACAGACGATGGTTATAAACTAAAAACATTTTAGTTAACTGAAATAAAAACAAAAACTAGACTTCAGGAGAAAAAAAACAACTCAAACAATATTGTGTGCTTACAAAACTAACTAATGCTGGAATAAAATAAAAAAAAACAAATACATAAGAATAAAATTTCAACTAATAATAACTAGCTATAATAACTCTGATACAGACTTCTTGATAAATATCTCCCCAATTTCCTTGTTAGTTTAGTGGCACCAGTTAGGGTGGGACAACTTAAACTCTAATCACAGTGAAAAACTGACTATGTGTGACTGTTGTTGTTGACATGGTAGATTATACTTGAAGATACAAGTGAGGAATATTTACAGCGAGGAAGTGGTTTTTGAATTATAATGTTTAAATTGGCTGCTTTAATTTATTTTTTTACATACATTTTCTGAAAAGCATTTAACAATATATAAGGACGACCCCAAACCATGAGTCCCTGAGCTCTGGGGTTTCACAGCAGCTGTTAATACAGACGTTCTATGCAGAGAACCAATTAAGGTCTTCCAATGAACTGCAGTGTTCACACACATATATTGGTTCTTTAGGGACATAGCTCAAATTCAACCCATTAGAAACTAGTCAGTCACACCCTTGACAAACCCTAAAGTGTTTGCATAGTTAAAACCCATGCCACTCTTAAAAATGTTTGATCCTGTACAAGCCTTTGAAGTTGTTGCACACAGTAGAGTTACAACTAATTTTCTGTATTTTCCAAGGCAGGTGTGGTTCTGTCTCGGCTGAAGGGCTGCCCCCTGTCCATCAGTGTCCTGCGATGGAGGGCTCAGGATGGAACCGTTTATCGGCCCCTTATCAAACTCCTGCGGGCCCTGAGGATGGAGAACCCCACCCTGCAGCTTGGTCCCGCTCCGTCCCAGCAGTCAGCCACCAAGGACCAGAGAAACTCTCCATCACAGTGTCTCAAAGAGGGAAGGCAAGTTGGTTACCAAATCCTTAAAGATGATTTAAGCGACATTTTCCCAAGTGTACTCTTGACATTAAGACACTGACTTACCCCTGCTCAACAGGATTGTGTACATAGTGCAGTTCTTGGGAAAAACAAACATTGGAATGGTAAATAATTGCTCTACAATTCAATATATGTTAAATATTTGTCTATACAGTACATGTTCTTGTCTCTTATGTAACTTGTGATATCTGGTCTTATCTTTTTGTGTTAGTTTGGGGGCAAAGAGGTGCTGCAGCAAGCCATCCCACAAGTGTTGCAGAAAAACCTGCCTAGCCAGGTAAAAAAACCACTCCCCTATTTTTGTCAAGGTCTGCAAAACACTTATCAGTACCTCCATGTGCTCACTCAGTATATGTTGTCCCACAGGAGGTGCTTTTAGATATGAAGGAAACACATTTGACATGCACAGACAGAAGCAGTAAAGTGGTAAGTTGTGACCTGTCTGTCAGAAGTAATAGCTAGTGTTGAAATCCCTTTTTACTATTGTTTGACAATGGCCAATAACACATTGGTTGTCTTTGTTTCCTCAGGAGCTCTTTGAGCATCACTATCCAGAGATTTCATGCGTAGGGAGATTTGGTCGACCAGATTACACAATATTTGCATTCTGTGTGGCGTAAGTATATACATATATTCCAAATCATGCCACTGATTTTGCAGCAGACACCAAGTAAACAAGAGTTTTCACACACATCCTTGCTAATCCAGGCCTGCTGTAGTGTAGGTCACTCCCCTCCTTTGACATGTGGTGATGCAATACCCAAGACATCACAGCTGTTGTCATTGGCTGGACCCAGAAGTCATCTAAGCATATGATTGGCTCTGTTCACAGACACTCCCCAGAAACCCCTCAGTCGACAGGCTTCTGCTGTGTGGCGCTCAGAGCCAGCACCATCAAGGAGTGTGAAGAGATTGTCTGCCGTATTGGTGAGGCATAGCAGATATGAGCTTTTACATAACCCAGCCATTATTTTTCTCATCTTAAACATTAAGCGCTTGTTCTTTTTCTTACAGCTACTGGTTTCAAGCATACGGAGTGGTTTGTATGACAATTCACCAACAGTTGTCAACTCTTGTTTTATGTGTTGTAAATAAATGTAAAATTTGTCAGATCATATACTGAATTACTTCCTGAATACCACAACACACAAGGTTTTCTACTCATAAAGACCTTTAATAGAAAGACATGTGACAACATTTTCATAAATAGTATTAAATGTAGCTGCCAAGATTTTATGTTGAAAAACATGTAAAAAGCAGTCCAGAAAAATACAGGAGGGGTCTGCCATGCTCCTTGCCACTGAGCGCATGGTATCAACTGTAGTAGCCAATACCAATGACACTGCAGTGATACCTGTTGAGCACAACATGCTGGCATTTTGTGGTAAATGTTAGGTGGGTTAAGAAACCCCGGACCCCATGGAAGATGTGAAGATGTCATCCTTGAAAAGATAACGCCATCCTTGAAGAGAGCCTGATACCCACACAGAACCTGAAGGGTGGTATGATGGCTGTAACATAACCCATGATGGAATAGGCAGACACTACTACTGCACAACATTTCCAACTACCTTAAGTTTACCCAGTCTTGTGGAATGATTGATAATTGTCTCAGTCTAAAATACAATACAAAATTCAAAAAGAAAACTTATAAAAATACCCAAGAAATAAAAATGTCCACAAAGATGGTTAAGTATGATAAATAGGATCATTTGTCATGACAACACTGTCACTAGCTGCTTAGGCCCTCTCTCCCCTTATCCTACGAGCCAGCTGGATGTCTTTGGGCATGATGGTGACGCGTTTAGCGTGGATGGCGCACAGGTTGGTGTCCTCAAACAGACCCACCAGGTAAGCCTCACTGGCTTCCTGTTAAAAGAACAGAAACATACATTAGGTTGGAGGAAACCAATCCACAAGTACATTGACTACAGGAGTTTAATTTCCCGTCTCATTTACCTGAAGAGCCCCAATGGCAGCACTCTGGAAACGCAGATCGGTCTTGAAGTCCTGGGCAATTTCTCTCACCAGACGCTGGAAGGGCAGCTTGCGGATGAGCAGCTCTGTGGACTTCTGGTAACGACGGATCTCCCTCAGAGCCACGGTTCCAGGCCTAGACAACAAACCGTTTTAGCCACACGTATCGTCATAGGACAACAATGAAGGATTGTATGACACAGGTAACCTATTGTTTATAAAAGTACTACACACCTGTAACGATGGGGCTTCTTCACTCCCCCCGTGGACGGGGCGCTCTTTCTGGCTGCCTTGGTAGCGAGCTGCTTCCTTGGCGCCTTTCCTCCGGTGGATTTACGGGCAGTCTGCTTGGTACGGGCCATCTCGTACTTTCTGTACACAGTAAATGAACCGATTAAAATCCAACTGGTTTATGTCCAAACCCAAAACTATCAGAACTCATCCGTACGGTCGCGGTATTATTTTTCGAGCTCATATGCTAACCTAGCCTAGCCTACACTCTCATACAGCGCCCCTCCCCCCAGGTTGTACCCACTGGGAGGCGCCGGGTTTGCTCTATCAACGCTACACCAGACTAACAGTCTACAGCTTTAATATCATAGTCACCATTTAAACGACTCAACGTTGAGTGGGATTAGTACAAATGGTAAATGGCGCCATGACCATTGACAGCAACGATCAAACAAAATCAGAGGCCCGCAGCAACCAGACAGAGACAGTGTCGTCAAAACAGTCGGTGTCTGTCCCGTCCGTCCGTCCGTCCCAGTCAGACAGCCTTCAGTTGAGCTTTTCGACTTCGCCATTTTTACAGTCTCATTTCACCCCCAAGCGACATTGCCTCGATTCCGCTCAAGCAACATTAGCTTCCATATAATTAGCTCCGCTTTAATGACTTCTCGTTGTATAAAAAGCCAATATGACACTCGACATTTGACTCCAGTTAATGTGAGACTTGTTTATGGTTTCACTTTAGCGACCCAACAGTGACGTTTGACGAGAAACGTCAACGGTGGACTCCATTGTTCTATTTTTAGCTAACGCTAATGTTAGCAGGTCGACACGTTAGCCAAACAATGCCTGAAACAGAAACGTTATCCTCGGATACATATCACATAAAACAACGACTCCACGCACATTATATCCAGAGACGACGGTTGTGAGATTTACCTTTAGGACGTGGGTTGATGAAGTGATCGCTGTGGCTGGCAGGTCGTCGCCGGTGACCGATGAAAATGATTTGTGTTGGGGGGGTTGCCGTGTATTAATACTTTTGCCGTGACGTCATTCTTGTGAAAGCCTACACTCTGATTGGTTCACCTTTCAAAGTGGACATATGATACAGCCAATAGCAGCACATAAAGACACAAACGTAACTCTATCGCTCAATTCTCACCGTTTTTCACTTTTTTTATAAACTAGGTGTATGTAGCGCGGTTATACAATGTCACTGTGAATGACTTAATCCAGTACGTGTTTCACAATCTGCATTATTATCGAAGTTATGATTGAACTTCATGTCCCATGGTTCCGTGTTGTCCCTTTGCTACTACTACTTCCTCCTGCCTTGCGCAAGCTCACATCGTAGTAGAATGCGGATTTCGAAGCTAATACGAATAGCTAGCCAGTAAGCTAAAAACAAGGTTCTTGTTGTTAGGCTTCAAACGGGTACAATGTCTAAAACACACTCACAGCCCCCGTCATCTTCGGCAGCGACGAGTACCGGGGGACCCTCCTCGTCCTCTTCGTCTTCGCCCGCAGGGGGCTCGACATCTCCCGCAACCGTGTTGAACGTGCAGCCCGAGAAACCTCAACATTACACGTACGTAGCTAGTTAGCTGGATTAGCTAGCTATGTGTACACAACCTCACGTGTAGTTGCATATACCAAACTGCAGCTAAATTGTATTGGAAAAAATGAGCAAGGGATAAAGTTGATATTCTTTAAAATGACTGAACCGAGCCTGTTCGGCGATAATGTGCTTATTTACCGGGGCAGGTCTCGAGAAAGAGGCCTAACGTTACTCACTAACAGTAGCCATTTCTCACAAGCTTTGTGACACTGCAGAGTTAAAGTTCTGTGTTTGTGATGTCTCACTGTAGCTTAAACCTAAGGCTCGTTTAGTGACAGTATACATGAACTCTTAGCGGGAAGGGGTTTGTCACAGCAGCAGAGACCAATATGGTAGACAGATAGAGACCCCTTGGAAAAGAATGACTCTAAGAAGGGTTGTTGAATGTACTGTAAATAAATATGAATACACTCTTGCTTGTGTAAGAAAGTATTAAAGACAGTAACAGTGTCTATAAATGTATTCCACTCTGTTGTTGATCCTCTCTCTTCAGATATCTGAAGGAATTCAGAACTGAGCAGTGCCCCCTGTTCGTACAGCACAAATGCACACAACACAGGCCTTTCTCCTGTTTCTACTGGCACTTCCTGAACCAGCGGCGACGCAGACCCATCCGCAGACGGGACGGGACGTTCAACTACAGCCCAGATGTTTACTGTACCAAATACGATGAGGGAACAGGCACCTGTCCTGATGGAGATGAGTGAGTGCAACTGCGCTTTCAGTGTTGTACAAGACTGCTTCACATCATGTTTGCATTCATCATAGGGCTGCAACTGACGGTTATTTTCTTAATCGATTAGTTATTTGGCCCAGAAAATGGTGAAAAATGTCCAAGGCGATGTCTTCAAATGTCTTTTTTGGCCACAACCCATTGATATTTAGTTTACTGCCATAGAGGACTAAAGAAATCAGAAAATATTCACATCTGAGAAGATGCTCTTAAAAAAATGACTCTAAACAATTAACTGCAATTAATTTAATGTAGTAGTCAACACCTAATCAATTAAGAAACTAATTGTTGCAGATCTAATTCATTATTATGTGCCCCTCAATAGATCTATAGATTTACTGAACACGTTTTCATTTTTTGTAGGGGGTATGTTGTGTATAAACGTAACTTACAGTGAAAAGTATTACTTGGCCCCTGTTTGAGATACCAAAGTGTCTTTAATCTAAATGGGTCATTCTTGCTGGTATCCAAAGCGTTGTCCCTGTCTCATCTCTAACGTTTGTACACCTTTTTACATTCAAATCCTGAATTGTGATTGACCAGAATGTGTAGGACATTGCCTGGCAAATTACCTTTTTCAATTGGGTAAAAGTCAGTGAAGTAGTGATTGAGGATACACCCTATCCACAATTGTAAGTCAAGTCGAACACCTTGGAAGAATAGTGTCTGATGCATAATCCTTCCAGGGGGCATTAGCACCTGAACATAGCCTTCTCCCATTCTATGGGTCTTTTTGAGACTGAAATGTGCTGATGGTTTTTATGACACCCTCTTGGTGACGATCACAGACAAAAGGAATGTAAATGTGAGGAGGGAAATTGATTCAGGTTCAAACTGGGACGTCTTCCTTGCATGCTAATGAAGCACTTGGTGGAGTGAACATTACAAACGACAAGCTCGCATCTCAAAATGCCTAGTCGCAGAGAAAAATCACATTACACAGATTTGGGGGAGTTCTGAAACTTTTAGTTATAAATATAACATATAACATGGCCTGTGCACAAGTACCTACAGACTAATAAAGGAAAAGTTTAGCTACTGTTTTTTAAATATATATTTCTATGTTGTTGGGGCATAAGGAATAATATTTTGTGAGTGTTGTATACTTTCTTGTCTGCTGCGAACCTCGCAAACAACTTTGTATGCCAGAGTTGTGTGCAGGGCTCTTTTGTACCTCAGCAGAGTTTGTAGCTCTGCATATGAGTACAAAACTGTGTGAACTTAATATATAAGTTACCATGCAGTCTGTCTGTTCACAGCAGAGGTGCATTTCTCTGTGCCGGGTCAGCAAGTGATTTTGCTCCTCTGCACTTTTCTAATCACACATATAACTGATCTTTCTAATAACCCAATGAATTATGTGCTACAATGAAGTTAAAAGGATGGTCCTGTGATGATCACACAGAGAGGATTCTCTCCTGCCTGTATGTGCCTATTTCTCTCACTATAGTGGGTGGGCAAATGTTGATATTTCATCATTGGGGAATAAAAACAGGGAACTGAAACTGAACAGGGTTCGCGAGCACTGGATGTATATTTCATCATTTATCAGAATCAGATCATTTAATATAGAATTTATTTAGTTTATAATAGATTATCAGTGTGTTTTCTTGCCAGATTTGCTTGTGGCTCACGGAAAAAATAGAACAGACACCGGAACGATCGCTGCAGAGCACAGGCCGATCACAGAGCTCCGCAGTGTGAACAGCCCATTTGGTTAACATGGGTGCCAAAAGGAAGCAGGCAGCACTCAGAGGATCTTTGTAGCGTGTCCGCTCCTGTGTGTTTGCAAAGAACTTGAAAACCAATTGATTTGATAGCTACTCACTTTTACTGGTTCTAGCTTCTTTAAAGTTAGGATTTGTCTTTTTTTAAACGGACAGTTTTGGGTTTTTGGACTCCCCTTGAGCTCTGGGAAATTGTGATGGGTACTTTTCACAATTTTCTTGATTTATTGATCAGTCGAGAAAATAATCTGCAGATTAATCAATAATTAAAATAATCATAAAATGTAGCTCTAGTGTACAACATACATATACTGTACTCAGCAGACCTGTATGTCTTTATGTTTGGATGCATGTTTCGAATTAGATTTTTCTGTGTGTTACAGATGTCCGTTTCTACATCGGACAGCAGGTGATACAGAGCGCAGATATCACCTCCGCTACTATAAGACGGGATCATGTATCCATGAAACGGATGCAAAAGGCCACTGCAGCAAAAACGGCTCCCACTGTGCCTTTGCACACGGCTCACATGACCTGCGCAGCCCTGTTTATGATATCAGGTACCAAAAGAACTTAATTGTAACATGTCACAAACCGACCTTTGACTTCATATCAGTTTCTGTATGTGCATCTGTGCTGTAGTTGCTTACAGTGTCTCTTTACACTGTGGATTTTACAGAGAAGTGCAGGTAATGGAGTCTCAGGGAGGCTCGGGGGCCACAGAGGGAGGTGGAGGAGATGGACAGTCAGGACAGGCAGCAAGTACAGCCCTCATAGAGAAGATCCTGAGCGAGGAGCCACGCTGGCAAGGTAAAGCTGGGTTTTTTTGTGGCAATTGATTTCTTTTTGTCCCATTATTTTTTTCTCATTTTAATGCTCTTATCAACATGGAAAAGTGGATTGGCTTGCTTTGTGCAAATGTTGTTTTTATTGAAAACAACATTGGCATATACTGTATTGTTCAATTTCACACTAACATTCTCACTTGGAGCAAATAATGTCTCACATAATGTAACACTGTCCATCAATAAAAGGGTGAAAAAAATACTTTGTCAAACAAACAGCCCCTTCAACAGCCCTTTCTAAGGGATCAGAACAGGGCTATACAAAATAAAATTACACAGTGCACATGTAAGGTAAACTAGGACAGTTAAACCATGGCTTAATACTTTTCTCAAGTTTGCTTTGAACATAGCAGTCAGGCTACTGCTCTTTATTCACCAGAGGCTCAACCCAGCCTCTTATTTCAGAAAGAATGAACAGTAACGGTTACCAATAAAAGGTTAGCTTACTACTTCTTTGCTTTGAGCCAGTTACTGAAACAGACAAGCCTGTTGACATTTTCAGACAACAAGGAATCCATCCATTTCGGCGTCTCGCACTCGCCATCCACTCAAAACGTAACGTCTACTACTCTTTAACAAATGTGTGCGGCGTGCCTGTTGTTTTGTTTCCAGTCTAGCTAGATCCGGTGTGGTGTTGTAGTTTTTCTAACGTTACTAGTTGTTGCAATAGCATGTGAAAAAAACTACAAAGTGTGCTAGGCGTTAATCTCGCGATAAAAAAATTGACGCCGTTAAAATGGGTTTGCGTTAACGCCGTTAATAACGCGTTAAACTGACAGCAATATCAAATAGTCATCGCGGTGACTGTTTTTCATTGCCCCTCTGTGAGGTAAACAGTACAAATATTGGATTATTGTTACAAATGAATTTACCAGGCACGTGCAGTTGCATGTATTTGATTGGTCAACAGAGTGCCTTTTCTGATGACACATTCCGGTCTAGCAAAAGCTGAGCCAGATTGCGTCATCTGCGTCCCCCTGTACTTCACAAAACTGGCCCTTTTTTCACGTAGAGCTAACATTAGTACGAAGTAGCCTTACTGAACGACTAATTTCATCCAACACATTTCTAGCTGTTCTTGTATTTCTCCTGAAACACTCTGTCCATTATTGGTTTTGACTAGGCAGATGT